GCTGCTGTAAGACTTGCTCGTTAGTTCCAATTTATTATTGTTACTGAATAGTTTTTTTTGTTTGAAAAAATATCTTTTCTTCCATTTATATTATAGAAAAAACTTTCTGTTGTTTCTGATTGGTTTTAAATACACGCCAACAAACTTCTATTTAAAGTTCTTGAAACTTTATTTAAAAAAAAGTGGGAAATAACAAATCTCTGCATGAATAAGTACAGTAGCACAATTACATAAAAAAATTACAGGTTGTGCGCCTACATTTGTTCGTTTCAGTCAAATGACGTCCACTGCTGGACAAAGGCCTCCCCCAACGATTTCCATAACGACCTATCCTATGCTGCCTGCATCCAGTGCCACGCCCACAGTATTTTAAAGTGGCGCAAGCACTTTTATACGCATCTAGTTTTAAGATGCCCAAAAAGTTCCACTATCAGCAATTATTCCAGCCAGTGTCATAAAAAACTATTTTGTCCACAGATATCCAAGAAAAAAAAGGAGTTCCACTATCAGCAATTCTTCCAGCCAGTCTCATATAAAAACTATTTTGTCAACAGATATCCAAGAAAAAAAAGAAGTTCGTCTACGAGTCCCGGTCCAGCGTGAAGCTAGAGGGCGCGGAACTCGCTCTGTACGAGGAGGTGGCGCGCACTCCGCCGTTCCTGCGGCGCACGCTCGCGCTGGTGGGCACGCGCGGCGTGGGCCGGCGCACGCTCAAGAACAAGATGATACACGACCACCCGGACCGCTTCGGGGCCGTCGTGCCGCGTAAGTGTCGCTAGGAGACTAGTTAGTTTATTAGGAGCAGAAGTTCGTCTACCGGTCTCTATCCACCGAGAAACTAGAACCGCTTCGGAGCCATAGTGGCGCGTAAGTGTGGCTAGATTGGTTGCAACTAGCCTATTATACAAGAGTAGCTTAAGAAGTTCGTCTACGAGTTTCGATCCAGCGAGTAACTATAAGGGGCATAGCTAGTTTCATACGAAGAGGTCACTATGCGCACTCGTTCCTGAAGCGCACGCTCGTGCTACCATCCGATCTGGGTTGTAACTGTAGTGCCACGCCACATTAGTCAGCTAGCTAGTCGCGACTACCGTATTTACAAGACTAGCTTACGAGTCCCGGTCTAGTGTGAAGCTAGAGGGCGCGGAGCTAGCGCTGTATGAGGAAGTGTCGTGTCGCAAAAGTATATCTAGGAAATTGGTTGCGGCTAACGTATAAGACTAGCTTTTGCCTGCGGCTTCGCCTGCGTGATACAAGAAGTCCATATACGAGTCCCGGTCCAGCGTGAAGCTAGAGGGCGCGGAGCTGGCGCTGTACGAGGAGGTGGCGCGCACTCCGCCGTTCCTGCGGCGCACGCTCGCGCTGGTGGGCACGCGCGGCGTGGGCCGGCGCACGCTCAAGAACAAGATGATACACGACCACCCGGACCGCTTCGGGGCCGTCGTGCCGCGTAAGTGTGGCTAGGAGACTAGTTAGGAGCAGAAGTTCTTCTATGAGTCTTGGTCCAGCGTCAAACTAGAAAGGGCGGAGCTAACGCTGTATAAAGAGGTTGCGCGCACTCCTTCGTCCGTAAGTGTAGCTAGGAGGTTGGTTGCAACTAAAGCCTGGTCCGTGAGCACTTAGAATTTTGTCCAATGACCTCAAGCTACCCATCCTTATCGCTCGCGCGTAATTATATTGCTGTCGCGACTGTGCGACGGGCGCCCGCAGTGAGTGTGCGAGCGCGACAGCAACATAATTACGCGCGAGCGATAAGGATGGGTAGCTTGGGGTCATTGGACAAAATTCTACGTGCTCACAGACCAGACTATAGAAGGGGAGGAGCTAGCGCTGTATAAAGAGGTTTCGCGCACTCCTTCGTCCGTAAGTGTAGCTAGGAGGTTGGTTGCAACTAGTGTATTATAAAAGACTAACTTTTACCCGCGGCCTCGCCCGCGTGGTAAATGAAGTTCTTCTATGAGTCTCGGTCCAGCGTCAAACTAAAAGGGGTGGAGCTAGCGCTGTAAAAAGAGGTCGTGTCGCGTTTGTGTAGCTAGGAGATTGTTTGCGACTAGTGTATTAAACAAGACTAGCTGCTCGCGGCTTCACCTGCGTGAAATGAGAAGTTTGTGTACCTGCGAGTGAGAAAAATAGAGCTCGTCTACCAATCTCGGTCCAGCGTGAAGCTAGCTAGAGGGCGCGGAGCTGGCGCTGTACGAGGAGGTGGCGTGTCGCATAAGTTTATCTAGGAGATTGGTTACGGCTAGCGTATAAGACTAGCTTTTGCCTGCGGCTTCGCCTGCGTGATACAAGAAGTCCATATACGAGTCTCGGTCCAGCGTGAAGCTAGAGGGCGCGGAGCTGGCGCTGTACGAGGAGGTGGCGCGCACTCCGCCGTTCCTGCGGCGCACGCTCGCGCTGGTGGGCACGCGCGGCGTGGGCCGGCGCACGCTCAAGAACAAGATGATACACGACCACCCGGACCGCTTCGGGGCCGTCGTGCCGCGTAAGTGTGGCTAGGAGACTAGTTAGGAGCAGAAGTTCTTCTATGAGTCTTGGTCCAGCGTCAAATTAGAAGGGGCGGAGCTAGCTTTACACAAAGATGTCACGCGCACTCTCGTTCCTGAAGCGGTAGCACGAGCGTGCGCATCCAATTTGGTTTGTAACTGTAGTGCCACGCCACATTAGTCAGCTAGCTAGTTGCGCTTGCGACTAGCGTATTTACAAGACTAGCTTGAGAGTCTCGGTCCAGACTCCAGCGTGAAGCTAGAGGGCGCGGAGCTAGCGTTGTACGAGGAGGTGTCGTGTCGCAAAAGTTTATGTAGCAGATTGGTTGCGGCTAGCGTATAAGACTAGCTTTTGCCTGCGGCTTCGCCTGCGTGATACAAGAAGTCCATCTACGAGTCTCGGTCCAGCGTGAAGCTAGAGGGCGCGGAGCTGGCGCTGTACGAGGAGGTGGCGCGCACTCCGCCGTTCCTGCGGCGCACGCTCGCGCTGGTGGGCACGCGCGGCGTGGGCCGGCGCACGCTCAAGAACAAGATGATACACGACCACCCGGACCGCTTCGGGGCCGTGGTGCCGCGTAAGTGAGGCTAGAAGATAAGTTAGCTAAGAACAGAAGTTCTTCACGAGTCTCCACCTAGCTAGAAACTAGAAGGGGCGGAGCTGGCGCTGTATAAAGGGGTTGCGCGCACTCTCGTTCCTGAAGCGCACGCTCGTGCTACCATCCGATCTGGTTTGTGACTGTAGTGCCACGCCACATTAGTCAGCTAGCTAGTTGCGACTACCGTATTTACAAGACTGGCTTACGAGTCCCGGTCCAGTGTGAAGCTAGAGGGCGCGGAGCTAGCGCTGTATGAGGAAGTGTCGTGTCGCATAAGTTTATCTAGGAGATTGGTTGCGGCTAGCGTATAAGACTAGCTTTTGCCTGCGGCTTCGCCTGCGTGATACAAGAAGTCCATCTACGAGTCCCGGTCCAGCGTGAAGCTAGAGGGCGCGGAGCTGGCGCTGTACGAGGAGGTGGCGCGCACTCCGCCGTTCCTGCGGCGCACGCTCGCGCTGGTGGGCACGCGCGGCGTGGGCCGGCGCACGCTCAAGAACAAGATGATACACGACCACCCGGACCGCTTCGGGGCCGTCGTGCCGCGTAAGTGTGGCTAGAAGATTGGTTGCGACTAGCATCGTATTCATCCTTGCCGTATTTATTGAACTTGCCTATCGTCACTTACAAATATGAATTCTCCACCATACCACCCCATAAGTGTAGCTACTCAACGGCAACTCGATTCGAAAGCTGTCGCAATAACTATCGCAAACATTGTACTTCCTGCAGCGATACAAATCCTTAAGATCTTTGTTAAGGTAAAATAGACAACTCTTTTCACTCAGTACAGAATTGTCTTAAAAACCTTTCATTTAGCAATGTGAACATGTATCCTATCATACTTTCCATACTGTGAAGTTAAGATCCAAAAACGATTTAACTTACTATGCCCGTTTATTGGGTTAAGTTTTTTTTTTGCAACCTATTTACATGATTTTGAGAATTCAAGCAAGCTACTATTACTTGCAGATACCTCACGCCCCCCTCGGCCCATGGAAGAAAACGGCCAGTCCTACTGGTTCGTGTCCCGGGAAGAAATGGAACGGGACGCGCACGCCGGCCGCTTCCTGGAGTACGGAGAACACAACGGACACCTCTATGGGACGCATCTGGACTCTATACGGGCTGTAATCAAGGAAGGTAAGAGAATAATTAATAATAATATGTTAGTGGGTGTGTTGACGAGCCGGTTATTTCATCGATGGTCGACCTGGTAACAAACCAGCCCAACGCCGGATCGGGTAGAAACTGACTCGTCTTGCGATATGCATACAAAATTTTAAGCTGCAATTTGACCAAGTCCCTCGACAGGCAACTAAGCACATGAAGAAATCTCCTAGCAATACTTTTTTTTTTCTTACATACGGAAAGAAGTGGATATTATATTTTGTAGAAAATAATTCTTACACCCTGGTGCAGAGTACCCAAAATGATATCAAATCGAACCATATCTCTCATTAATTCTGGAATTAGCGAAGAATAGACTTGTCACCAGCAATCGGGATAATTAGAACTCCCTTGAAACCGTCGGCCGTTTGGTGTAGTGGTTCGAAACGGACTACTATTCCGGAGGCAGCGGGTTCGATTCCCGCACAGTACAAACATTTGTGTGCATGAACATATTTGTTTGTATTGGACTGGGTGTTTTCTATGTATAATAAGTATATATTTACAAAAAAAAAGTATTTAAGTATGTTTAATGTTTATATCCGTTGTCTAGTACCCATAGTACAGGCATTGCTTAGTTTGGGACTAGAAACGCAGTGTAAGATGTCTAAGGATATTTATTATTTATTTATTTAACCTAAAAAGAATCTTCATGCCTTAACATAGGGTCTATTTTCAGGCAAAATGTGCATCCTAGACTGCGCCCCGCAGTCGCTGAAACTGCTTCACAACAGCAGCGAATTCCTGCCATATGTAGTGATGGTGGGCGCGCCCGGCATCGAACAACTACGTAACCTGACCTACGCTTCGAACAGAAACCTGACGGTAAGACGCTTTCTTGTAGTCTTTAACCCTTAACCAGGCCTTGGTTAAATAGAGCCCACATCAATTTGAACTTAATGTCGTGTAAAGCCTGGTCCGTGAGCACGTAGAATTTTGTCCAATGACCCCAAGCTACCCATCCTTATCGCTCGCGAGATACGGTTGAAAACCATATACTTTTTTTGCGCCTGGTTAAGGGTTAGCAGTTGAGATTGTAGCGTTGTTGTCGCATGACTGCAGAATATAAGACCAATAATTTAGGTCTTTCGTTGAGATGCTCGAAAGTAATTTAATTATTAAAGAGAATTAGAAATTTTATTGTCATATTGTTTGAGCGGACGACCTTATGCCTGTGATTGGATGATAGAAAATTATTAGATAAAAATATGATAAATTGGCTGCTAAAGCTTTAGTTTTGTGGTCTCCTGTGTCTGAATTGATTGCGTTATTTTTATTTCCGTACCTGATATTTTAGATTTAAATATGAATTCAAATTCCTTGCCTGTAATAGAGATTGTATTAGTATAATATAGTTAAGTTGTAAGAAAATGTAAATAACATTTGGCCCTCAGACAACTTGATCATGCTGAATTTAAATCAAGTAAAATAATCATGCTATTTCATGCCTTATGTGCCTATATCAAGAAGAAACGGTAAAACTTCTTACAGCTTACTATATTATGAAGTTTTTATTTATGTTTATACAATAATTTTTGTTTTATTTGACTTTAGCATGCGTTTATTTTATTTTGTTTGTCCCTTGGCGTAGTTTGACCGGCAGAGCTCCATCCGCTACAGCTCTCGGCGCGCGCGCACGTTGGAATCGTTGGCGTCGCTTTACGAGGTAAGATGCCGTGTTATAGATATTGCGTAGTTTGCATGCTAAATAGATAGATAGCACTTATACTAGAGAACTTTAGCTTTGTTCTTAGCAAACTGTATTACACGATTTATAATAAAATATGTTATAATATGTTGTCACATTATGTTTATTATATTGATTGGTATAATGTAAATTTTACTGGCATTTTTGAATTTGATGCTTATTTCGACGAAATAACAGACGTATTCTCAAAAAAAAAGTACGACCCTACAGCACTCGCTTTAACAAAACACTAGATTTTATCTATTCGTCGCAACGAAATCATTTTTTTGTTTGAAGAGCAACGAAGTATTCACTAGCTAAATCCGTGATAAAACACTGCACTGATTTAAATAACTATAAATTCGGACGCACCACTATGAGAAGCCATAATAGATTCTGACTGCTTAGTTGGAAACTTTTTTGCCAAGTAGTCAAGTCACTGCAATTGATTGTCTAATTAAACTGGGAACTACGACTCTTCGTGTGTGTCCCTTCACATGTCATGTTCCCAGTCGAAAGAGTCACAACTGCCCAAGCGCTAGACCACAACCCTCTGCATGCTAATAAATCTATAACCTCAATATCAACAGGAAGAAGACATGAAACAGACGCTCGAAGAGAGCGCTCGCATCCACCGGCAGTACGAAAAGTACATCGACTTCGTGATCACAAACAACAACGCCGATACCACCTACTCAAAGATCATGGACGCCCTGCACGCTCTCTCCACCGACCACCAATGGGTGCCGGTCAGCTGGATTTATTAACATCGACCCAATATAGGTTATCTTTAGTCTGCGAATGCGCTACGATGATTATCAGGTAAGCGGGGTACTCCGAAAAACGTTATTCTAAGTTTTGGATGTTGCGATCCCTCTCACGCAAAGCGAGGTGCCAGCATGAGCGACGGTGACAGATAGACCCGAAGCTACGTAAACGGCGTTTCGGAGTAACCCTCAAGGTCTATGTCTTCGTTTGTAAGCTATAAGAGTGATGATACGCATCCTCTTGAGCAATCACGGCCTACTTTCTGTCTATAATGCCATTTGAAATGGCTTCACTACTTTCTCTAATTTCTTAATAAAAGTAATGAACCTTAATTAGCCAATTTATAGATAAGTTACTTGATATGTCGTCATCGTATCGCATTTATTTTGACTGCCTCTGTATTAGTCTTCCCGCACTGTGTTAGGCAAATGAATTTATGTATTTAAGGTATGAAGCCGAGTGTTATGAATTTGGTCATTTAAATATGCTTATTTACATCACATTACTTAATTTTAAAAAAAATGCTCCAGCATTGCCGCTTTTATTATTATAAAAATTAAATAATAATAGCCATTTTGGAAATATTCATCTGACACTTGCGCTTATTTTTGATAATATTATGCCTAAAATAGCTTGTATAGTGCGGGCCTAATTTTACAATTAATTAATTAGTATTATTAAGTATTACTTGTAACTTGTATTAAGATATTGTGCCAGCAAGAAAAATCGCTGATTTATTTATAGTTGGATAAAGTCATTCCATAATATAAAATATGTTTTACATGCAATTACAAAATTTGTTACCAAAATATTTTTATCACAAAATAGTTAATAAACCTAAATAAATCCACTTTAAACTTAAATAATCTGCAGTCTTTTTTCGATATTTACCATTAGGAATCAGTATGTAATTCCCACCTGTAAAATTATGATTTTACAAATAACTTTAAGGCCAAGATTGTGTGTTATTATTATTACAATATGTATAGATCAGTTAAGTACGTTTTATTAAATGTATATTTATACTTAAGTACTATGGATAGTACAATATTATGTGCAAAGATGTATTATATTAATTTCTTTCAATAAAATCTCAATGATCATGACAATGTATTGATGAATATTCTAGGTCTTTTAAAACTTTATTGTTCTTTTTTTGTGCTTATTTATATTAATATGCAAAGCTATTTTTATACAGACAAGCGTTACCTAACAATAGCTGATGCTACTTTTAACATTGCTATGTATAGTTTGGTGTCATAATGTCAATATGTAACGGATTTTGTTTAGAGGTAGGTACTTCAAAACTTTTTATGCAGAACAGCAGGTATTTAATCGCAATCACACCTGATGTTAAGTGAGAAGAAATCAATGCTGAAATAAATCAGTTTATTCTTTACTTTTCTTAATTTATTCATTAGACTCTATTACGAGTACTTTAGTTTCAATGTATTAAAAGTACACTCTTTCTTTTGTGTGTACACTATGACGCAAAATGACATTATGTACCAACTATATTCCAGTAAATAAGAATAAATCCTGTTTTTACATCACGTAAGGGCGAAACGGTTTCCCCGAAAAGCTCTACGTGTTATTAGTTCTAAGGAGACTTGCTTTGATTTACATTTAAGCTACATTGTAAATTTAGCTTGTACTTCATTGAGAATCTCACATTCCGTCCATTTTATTTTGTTGTTTAGCTATAAATTTTATTGGAATATTCAATATACATTATAACTGTAATAGCTTAATTTTATTTTCACGCTTTTAATACTGTTTCTTCACGGTTTTCCCTGCACGGCACAGCTCAACGATACGGTATCCACAATCTTGTTGCAGACATCTCGGTCCGAATTCAGATTCACGCCGGAATTTCGCTAGCTAAGCTCCCTAGCTCATAAAAGAAAATTGAGTTCGAGTCCCAAATTTAGCGCTATCCTGGCTCGATTATTCCCAACTAGCTTCTGCGCGGCTTCACCTGCGAGAAATTTCGTTTGTCACAGATCATCATAAATTATAGCCTATAATAATATGTTATTCTGGGTTATAAACAATAATACTATAAAGTTTCATCAAAATCCGTTCAGTAGTTTTTGCGTGAAAGAGTAACAAACATCCAGACATGCAAACTTTCGCATTTATAATATTAGTAGGATAGTAACCTCTGGCACTGTGGGTGACAATTGGGAATAGTTGTCATCCTTGAGGGGACTACAGGGAATAGATCGATCCAGGGCTAGAAACCATTAAATGTGTAGGTAGGTACATACCAGCAGCCCAATTATATAATCCCGCCCCAAGTAAATAATAAGCAAGCCAGTTATGCGCTAGTCTCACTGGTAAGTGTAAGTGCTTGGGGATTTCCCCCATAAGTTTGTTAGGGAAAGTTGTGAAAATGCCCTGCCCCATAAGTTTGTTAGGGAAAGTTGTGTGGAAATGCCTGCCTGTTTTCTTGTAACCTTTATTTTGTAATCGTGTAGAAGTTGATACCATAAAGGCAGAAATGATTTTACAAGAACTGTGTGTACTGTGTACCTACTGAAATTATATTCCTGATGTGGATAAAATATTTTTAAATGAAAAGCATTATTACGTCGTGTAAAATTTATTAATGTCCATTTTTACACTGAGATTATAACTACAAAATATAGATTCATAATACGACAAAGACTAAGTATTCATTGCATGAATCATCAAACCAAGTTTGGTTTGTATACTAATTATTATTTACAAAGTAATGCCGACTCCAAGATTATTTTTAGACAATATTATAATTAAATGTTTTGACAAAGTAATTTAGGTACATAATACTAACTGAAAAAAATGCTAACTCGACAGTTAAACAAATCAAATGACACCTTTTAGTTATTACACTTACATTAAAAACATTATACTATGTATTACAACTTTTAAATCAATATTTTAAATGGAGATTATAAAATAGGTACATGCCCGAGTTTTGCTACATAACATACACTTGAAGCCATGTAATGTCTATTATTTAACAGTAATATAAAGAGTCGGATCGTAATGATGACATAACTTTTGCAGTGCTTGAACAAAACTTGTAATTGAATATTCATTTATATATAAAGTTCTCTAAACTAGATGCACAAGATGAAAAGTGGTACTTATAAGGTAAAGTATAATGAATACGAATAAATTGATACCTCTAGGTATATTTAAACCATAATGGACTGATGGGCTTAGCATACAAATTTTTGAATAGCTCCTGATCATCAGAAAAAGTATAAATCTAGCTGCTGCACCCCAAATGCAAGATAAATTGGTATCGTATTATTAACTACACAACTAAAAATGGCTTAGAGATAATAATTAAGCAAAATAACCTAATGTTTTACAATTGAAGCCTATTTAGTACTTGACCCAATTATATTAATTTTGTAGGAAAGAAAAAGATTATATGATTGAGTTTCACAAAGTACATAAATATCGACATGGAATGGAATTCTACCATACATTCAATTTTAACTTCTATCAATTTGTTCTTCAGTCCATCAACAATAATTTAGTTTAGCGTCTTCTGCGCCGACGTGAGTCACCATTGTAACCGTTTTCTGCAATAAAAATAAATCAAAATTAGACCCATGTCCATGTCATCGATCTTAAATGCAAATTGTAAGGTATAAGGAGAGGTGTTGAAGAGATGCCAACAAAACAAAAATGTATATGTAATGTCGAGATCGTCAGTCTCCAGTAGAAAAATCTTTATCAATCCATCTTTATTATTTACATAACTACACAGAAAGATATCCTAGTTCATGGGTAGTGACAACACCAAAAGATAACCTAGTAGTTCATGGGCAGCATATTTACGATTTGGAATTTGAATATATGTATGACATTAGAAATCCCAGAAGTAGGCAGTTCTAATGCCAAATTGGCGACTCATCGAAAATACAAGCGATTAAAGTTATTGAAAAATGTGAGTGTGTGATAGAGGTGAGTTTGCATTGGTTTGAATGTAACAAACCTCTGTATTTTCACCGACGGCGATTCCTCTGGCGGTTATTGTACCCCATGGAGCCATTTGCCAGCGCACCGTTCTGCACAGGTTGATCCATACCCACGGCCAAGCCCGAACCGACGTTCTGAGGCCCGTAGTAGTCCATCACGTTCTTATATCCGGCGTCGTTATAACTCTGATCGTTAAAATTGGCGTTATCCATTTTTTGGTTATTTCTGGACCCGTAAGACCCGAACGCCGCAAAATTAGCACCCTGGTCGCCGAAGTCGCCGACCGCGCTCTGCGGAAGCATGCGCGGCAGGAGGCTCCCATGGGGTACGTCGAGCCCGCCAGAGGAGTATCCGTAGCCGGGGGGCCGGCCCAGGCCGCCGCCGTCGTGGCCGCCGAGGCCCTGCGAGCCGAGCCCCTGGGAGCCGAGGCCCCCGTCGCCCGCGTCGTCCGAGCCGTGCTCGGCGCGGTCGCGTCCTCTTCCTCGGCGCCGGCGGTCNACTATAGTTTATTTATTTACTATTTACTTTACATCCTTAAAAAGTTACAACATTCTGATTATTTGGTAAAATAATTAAGCTATCTGTAAATGAATGGAACGTGATAAAGTATGTTTTGTTTCCAGTATACACTTTGAAAAGCCCTTAGCTACACTACAGCATTAGTAGATAATTAACCCTGATGTCAGCTTCATAAAAAAATATCTTGAGTCACTGATATGACCTTGCTATTGCCACACTATTGTAGTTTCTGTCTTGCATGATTTGGTCAGCTGAGAATGTCTATTAACAATATGTTCATTATTGTTTATACACAACACATTAATTTGTCTTTTGATTAAATTCTAATTCTAAATTCAGAGGTAGATAAAGTAATTATTGGACAAAACATATTTTCAATATGTCTCACAGAAATAACTATATATAACAGTATACCTCCATCCATTTATACTCAAGCATCGCATTATTATTTTTGTCCAGAAGCAGTGGTATGGTAGCCACTTGCATAAATAAATGAGTTTTTTATTATTTACTTAGCTTTTCCCATTTAACATTAAAATATTCTTTAACCACAATGGAGAAGCATCATATATCTTGTCTGAAGGTGGAAGCAAGCTTGACCTGGAATCCTCACTTGAAACCCAGAAATACACCCAGTAATATTAGTCCAGTAGAATTAGCTTTTAAATCGGAAATAATTCCTACAAAAGATTTTATTGTTTTAATGGCTTCATTGGTTGCCCATTAAGACTCTCCTAAGTTTTCGACTTCGACGGAGTTGTGCTTAAGTGGTGGGGGCCCCCGAAAGAGGCATTTTTTCGGTTTTCCGGTTATACCGCGTAAAGGACTTACCCTATCAAAAAGTGGTCTTCATGACGGTTGAAGGGCACTTAATCCTGCATTGAATAAAACCAAATTCATATGTTTTGGACAAACCGTTCTCGCGCTAAAGTTCGGCAAAGTAGAAAATATACGTATAATTAATGACCCTCTCCACGTCCAATGGTTTGTTACCCACAGACTTCCAAGTCTTGAAAAGGGCCACCTCAACCAGTGTAACCCTATCAAGGCTTACGAGCTTGATGCGCCTATCCTTGTTCGTCCCAGCCGTTCCTTAACTGCGGTTGCTGCACCTCTTCCTGGCAAGCCCGCCCGCGCCCAGCCCGCCGCCCGCGCCCGCGCCCAGCCCGCCGCCGCCCGAGCCCGCCCCGCCGGCGCGCGGCCCGCGCTTCCTGGAATCTGACTCGAGACCGCTCCCTCCCGAGCCGCGCTGCCCGAGACTCGCGCCGCCCGAGGGATCGGAGGGAGGGGGAGGGGGCGGGGGCGGGGGAGCCGCCGACCAGCCTCCGCTCGCCGCCATCATGCCGCTCATGGCGCTCGGAGGAAAGTTCGGCACCATCATGCCGAACCGCTCGGGAGCGTAAAACTGAGGCATCACGAAACCTTGGCCGTTCATGGGAGGGGGGACGCACACGCTCTGAGGGTTGATCGTCATCAGAGGCGGAATCTGATTCGGCATCTGTTGCCGGTTGAAATCTTGGGCGCCGTTGGCCCCGAGCGCGAGCGAGTCGCCGGGGGGCTCCTCCCGGGCCGGCCGGGCCTCGCGCGGCGGGGTGGCGGGGCCCCGGCCGTTCTGTTTGGCGCCGCGGGAGGGGGGGAGCTGGGGACCGATGGGAGTGGGTAGCAGCGGTTTCGGCGTGGGCAAGAGAGCTTGGGGCGTCGCTTGGGGCGCCGTCTGCGTGGTGTCCTTGACGGGGCTGCACTTGCCTGAGCGTGATCGACTTCGCGAGCGGGAGCGGGAGCGCGAGTGGCTCCTGGAGGAGCGCGACGACCTGCTGCGCGACGAGCGGGAGGAGCTGTGGCGGCGCCGGCGCCGGTCCCGCGAGCGCGAGCGTGTTCGCGAGCGGCGGCGACGGTCCCGCGAGCGCGAGCGTGTTCGTGAGCGTCGTCCGCCGCGGCGATACCTGCCGCCACGCCCGCGGTGCCCTGTAACAATTGTTCAGAAAAATCAGATTGGATTCCATACAACAAAAAAAATACTTTGTTCCTATGTTTCTATTGTATAGTGATGTTGATATCATCGAGAGAATCTAAATCTGTGTCAGTCATAACATTTCTGACGACAAAATAACTTACGTCTGCTGCCGCCACCACCTCTTTCGGCTAGTTCTTGTAATTTTGGGTTGACAACTTGCTTAGCTTCCTTCAATACTGATACGAGGTCAGCGGCCTTCGCGGCGTTTGACGGGGTGAAGAAAGTGTATGCTGTGCCAGTTTTGTTAGTACGTCCTGTGCGACCGATACGATGCACATAGTCCTCCGAATTGCTCGGGTAGTCAAAGTTGATTACAAACTTAACGTCATCCACATCTGAAACATAACAAGTATTGTTAGAACAGATTTAGATAATAAATATACTTAGTAGACTTAGTATTAATTACTGCACAGAGATATACATACCTAAACCTCTAGCAGCTACATCTGTAGCAACTAAAATGGGAGCTTTCCCACTACGAAAATCTGTAAGAAAGGCAATTTATTATTAAGTGCACAATAATAATGGCCTATTTTGCTAAATAAATATTTAATACATACATAAAAATAAGATACCTTTAACAAAATAAATAAATGTATGTAATGGTAACTATCAAGACATATTATTATGAATAAATGAAGATAAAAAGAAAAAAGTTATGAAGAATACATATTATATTATTATGATAATTGTGATGCTAGAGAAATACAAAGATATGAATACTTCAAAATGGAATGAAATTGTATCAAACTGATAAATAAACAACTATTCTACATAAAATATACCAAGACTTCCAGTTGGTTCTCCAAATAATTTAAAATAGCCACAATAGACATCATGTTGATGAACACCAAGCTCTTCAATATCAAATCGCCCTACACAACAAGTTACAAGTCTGGTAGGTAGGTTTTATTTTTACACCGCGCGAACTTTTCAGAATGCTTCGAAGATATCCTTTGCCATTTCAATTGAATTGAAGATGATTCATCCGTTAACTCGTTAATTTCTAATCTAAGTACTATTACTGACATAGATAAATCGTAAATCGTTATTTTTTCTAATGACCCTTATGAAATCGTCATCCTTATCAATTATATACTTAATCCCATCATTATAATTAAAATGTGTAACGCACGTAGTAATACAAGATCAAGCGAGAAGTCGCCACCCGGCGGCTCGGAGGCGAGTACGAGGGCTGACCACCGAGCGCTGGTGGGGGCCCCACGGAGCCGGCCGGCGCCGGCGCCGCCTCGAGGGCGACGGCGCAAGGCCACGAGGCGGCCAGGCGGCGCCGAACGAGCGAGAAGCGGCTCAGACTAGCCGCGGAGGCAAGTCAGTGCGCATAGGGCATTGCCCCGTCAACTAGTGGCGGGCGCGGTGCGGACGCGGAAGCAGGCGCGGCGCCGGGACGCGCGTGCCGCCGCCTCCGCCGCCCGGCCGCAGCCTCCAGCCTGCACATGCAGACACGCCTTCAGACATGTGACATCGGGCACCACTACTGGCGCGCTCGTGATCCCCGCAGTCCGACGCCGCTTCTCGGCAGCCATTTATATTTTACAAGTAGATATCTAAATGTTGAATAGTACTGAGATCTCTTTTACTGAGCGTTATCAAAGTGACATTAACAATTCACACTTTTACTTCTGGCAACTTCTAGATCAAGCTATCGATTAATTTGCAAATAACAAAATAAAAGAAAATAATTGGTTGGTTACTTTCGAAATGTAGAAAACTTACCTTGCAATACCCAGTCACGCTCATGTTGTGACTTGTCACCGTGAATACAAACTGCAGGCCAACTGTAAGAAAACAAAGTGTTATTCATATCCATTAAAATACATCAGTTTGACTGCAGTTGGAAGGGACATAATTCAAATTCAAATTGTTGGCCATATTAAGATAAGAACAGATCAATAAATACTTCCAGTGGCCTACCAGTAAATTGATAATAACTAAAGATGTAGTCAACGACTATAAAGGAATTCTAAATAAACAGTAATAACACTTACCCATCTCTTTTCATTTTTCTCGTTATGTCATCAACACGACGTTTTGTTTCAATGAATATAATTGTTTTGTTCTCTTTTTCTGCCATAATTTCTTTCAGAAGAGTACTAAGTTTAGTCTCTTTTTCATATTCCATACAAACATCAATGATTTGCAAAATATTGTGGTTAGCAGCGAGTGACAATGATCCTACATTAATTTGCAAGTAATCTTTGAGGAATTCAGAAGCCAAACTCTGCACCTCCCTGGGCCATGTAGCAGACCACATGAGGGTTTGACGATCTGGTCTTATTTGTTCAATGATTTTTCTTATCTGAGGCTCAAAACCCATGTCCAACATTCTGTCAGCTTCATCCAATACCAAATAGGTTGTCCTTTTCAGGTTGGTTCTACCACTTTCCAGAAAGTCAAGTAATCTTCCAGGGGTAGCAATAACTATTTCAACACCAGAATCTAAATCCCTAGCTTGGGGACCTTTGGGTGCACCACCAAATAGACAGGTGTTGTGAATTTTAGATGTATTTGCAAACTTGTCACAAACTTCTTGGATTTGCTGGGCCAGTTCTCTTGTTGGTGCCAAAACCAAAGCAATCGGGCCATCACCTCGGCTTGATTTAGGCTGATTGTTGATGTGAACTATAGCTGGCAAAATGTATGACAATGTCTTCCCAGATCCAGTTGAAGCAATGCCGACCATGTCATTTCCACTCAGAGCAATGGGCCACCCTTGAGCTTGAATAGGAGTTGGTTTAGAAAAACCCATTTTGTCAATTTCATCCATGACATAATCAGGGAAACCGGCTTCGTCGAAGGATAGCGTTGGTTTTGGGATGTTACGCCCTTTCAGGGTAATTTCATTATCACTTCTCCAAGCTTCCACTTCGGAATCAGGCCTACTTTCGACGTCAGGGTGAGGTACATAAAAATCTTTCTTGAAGGGCTTCAGTCTGCTCAAATCCCACTTGGGTTTACGTAGGCTGGCGCCTGGGTTGCTTCGGCGGCCGCCGCCGCCACCGCCGCCACCATATCCGCCGCCGCCACCGCCTCCTCCGGAACCAAGACCATAGCGAGGACTGCGGCTACGACTGCGGCTCCGGCTCCGGCTACGACTCCGGCGCCTATCACGACTACGATCCCTGAGTGAGAAAAAAGTAGTGAGCACGTTGCAATTGTATGCCTACTCTCAATAAAACCAAATGTAATGCCTAATAGATTAAATATTATACCTGGTGATAGTATATTAACATATTTAACTAGAATACTTAAATATTAAAACGTAGAAACAGGCCAATTAACAAAACCGCTAAAATATTAACACGCACAGTCATGAAAGTACCACATAGTGGAAAAACAATTGATTATTGTAAAGTTTAGTTACCTTCCTCTGCCCATATTATAAGAGTATTATCTTTCTTCAATTTGATAGCACTTAAACACACAAACACTGAATTAGAGCTAACACTTTTACAAAAACGCCATTCGACGCTTGGTTGGTTAACTCCGTAGACAAGACAGGATACAAAATGGCGGAGATCGAACGAATTACAAGACCAAAGACAAAACAAGCGGAAATGGAAGTGTTGCTATATCTAAAGGTCATAGACTAAATTTATGTGTTTTTTCAAAGGGGCGAGTGCCTTATTGCGTAATTTTTATAAATGATAGCTATCTATTTAATTAGTGTAAACTGAGACTAGAGAGGTTTTCTTTATATTTTTGACCCAGGCCCTCCTGGAGGACCTAGGTACATCTATTGACCAATAGAATTTATCTAGATTTTTTTTGCCCAATAGGAATCATTAAAAGTGACATTTGGTCCCAATATTCCGCAATATTCATTGGCTCTATGGTTGATCTCTCGACTCTGTTGTATTTTTCACAACACTACGGGAATCCATTTTCTGCGTTGTTGTGACATTTTGATTTTACTTGCGTATTTCTTGAAATAGAAAAATTAATGGATTAAATGCTAATAATTTCATTATTGATGAAGTAGGCTATGATTGAAGGACTATATATTTAATTTTAACATCAAGTTGACATTTTGGAGTGTTTAGATTGTAACACAATGGGTTGAATTAGTGATTGCTATCGGCATACATTCAGCATTTTCAATTCACACTTTCTGTTCATCTTAGATTACAACAATGGAATTGGATGTATCGCCTGAAACCACAGCTGGTAACGACATGGATTATTCAGATACTTCTTCTGATAGTAAATACTTATCTTGCAACAACAATGAACAGTCCTATTCAGTCATACGTATTCCAGAGGATACCGAAAAAACAAGTAAACACTCATCTAAGAAACAGTCTAAAAGAAGAAAAAAGAGTTCCAGTCATTCAAGACCTTTGCCTAGGATTATTGTTAAACCCTTGCCCCCTCCGCCACCCCCGGAAACGCGAGAATGGACAGCAGCCTCGTCGTATTCAGAATCGAGCTGTTCGAGTAAACCTTCGACCATGCGTGAAGTGCTAGCAAGTATACCAGGATTCTGTATGAAGCCGCGAAAGCGAAGTGGGAAAAAACTATCCACAGCGGCACAATTACAACAAACCAGAGAAGGATGCATAGATTTAGAAACACCTGATTCAATTTTAGTGAACACAAATATTAGAGCATTGTTAAATAAACACACATTCTCATTACTACCACCATTATATCAATACAAATTGGGACAGCTTTTACCAAGTGTAGATAGGCTCAGTCCTTCAGGACGTCTCAACTCATCTAGTCTCAGTAATGAATTTTTTGCTCGAGCTTGCTTAGAGTGGCAAGACAGCCTTTCAGGTGGAGAGTTCACTCCAGAAAATCAACAAAAAATGAAGACTGAAGCTGAAAAAGAAAAGAGTAAAATTGATCCTTGGAAACTGAAACATTTTGAGCCATTCTGGGGTGAAAAGTCAAAGAAAGAAAGATCTGCAGTCAGTATGAACTCAGAGAGGCCATCTCTAAAAACAACAATAAAGTTAAGGCCAACAGCATCCATCACAAGCAGTAGTACTGTACCAAAAATTAAAAAGAGTAAATCAGGCACAAGCAAGAGGATGAGATCAGTTGGAGCAGTGACCAGGTCCTCGTCTAAGGCAGATGACGTGCAAGATGAACCAGCTTGTGTTGCGTCTAAATCATCTGCACCTCTACCAGATTTACTACCTATCAAACACATAAAAGGCCATAACCAAGGCTATGTTGAGTGCCAGGTAGATTTCAGCTTTTCAGACTCATCTTCAGTGCAACAATTGGAAGATTCCACCTCTTCAACACCTGTTGATCCCCTCCTTGATCCCTTGTTGCCTGACAATGACCCGGACAGAAATGAATTGAAAAATGAACTGGATATGAATGTTGTTACAATAGAAGAATCTTCTGTATCCAAAGTTAGCGAGGAAGTTAAGGCAAATGAAAATGCAATTACTGAAACAACAAAACGATCTAACAATTGTAATGATGAATATGTAAATCTATCTAAAAGGATAAAATTTGAGGTAGAATATGAAATGGACAATAGTAGTTTTATGCCCAACAATGTTGAAGGCACTGAAAGTAATACATGTTCAGACACTGAGAATAATTACAACACTGAACCCTTGTGTTCAAATGATGAACTACACATTTTCCCTAGTCAGGACCAAGGTGAAAACAGTGAGGATGGCAAAGCAACCACACCACTATTCAATTATGATGATGGAAGTATATCTTCAGTTTTAAGTCCAAAAACTGAGAATCAATCAAATGATGGAGCGACAAAGGAACCAAATAGTAATGCAGATTTGTTTTCAAATATTCTTACTACAGTGAATGCTGTAGAGAGTTTAAGAGATGATATTGAAATTAAAGACTCACCAGTCTCACAAGATTTAAACCTAAAAGAGTGTGCAGATTCTATGCCTAGTGATAGCAATTTAAGTGCCGCCCACCTGGAATCGCCCACTGAAAACAACTCTACTGTTCTAATAGAACAAGAGATTGAGCAGAAGATTGAGGTAATACAAGAAATTGAGTGCCAATTACCACAAGTAGACCAGCAAGAAAGTATAAAGAGTGAAGATCTGGACATTCAAGTCAAGTGTGAAGACAGGACAATGGATAATGTACAAAGTTATTACGATGAACATTTTAAAGATGCTGAATCCTTTATTTTAGAAACAGGTGGACTATCAATTCTTACATCACGTAAGTCATACTTATTCTAATTTAATATTTAACATACTTGGGTATGCCATGTGTTTTAATAATATGATTATACATTCTATTTTCAGAGAGTGATGATATAAAATTTCCTCCACATCCAAATCTAATGGAACTATCATCATACATGAGTGAAACAAGTATGTATTCTTCTCAAGATTTTATTGTTATACAGGCTGTAATCTGTACATTTATTAGCAATGGTTTATCATTAATATTATATTTGTCAACTTTGCAGATGTTACAGCTGTTGTGACAATGCCTTTAACCCACAATTCTTCCATACCCATGATGGAAGTAACAAATACATCAGTGAGCATTATTAGTTTATTGTCAGTCCTAATATTAACATTGTAATCTGTGATATACTCAATTTCCAAAATGTGTTTTACAGATAGTCTCCTACCCTGATGATAGTATGCAGGATCCAGCCAAGCCAAAGACCTCAGCAGTGACATGGAAAACAGATAACGACTGGACTAATAACGAAAATATTGTTACCTTACACTCATTTTCAAATGTAAACAATGAAAACACTAAATACGTCAGTGAAGACTCCAAAACAAGTTTGGATGATGTTAATATGAATGATGAAAACTGCATGTATAAAGAAGATCGGGATGCAAACTACAACATGGAGTCATCCAGTTCCTCTGAGAGTTGCCAGTCAATGAAGGAGATGTCAATAAAGCTGGAAAACGACACTATTCCTAGTTTAGTGTCTGGCACAACTGCTACGAATCTGCCTGTAAATTCAACATCCAATACTATTACACAAAGTGCCAGGCCTATGGGAAAAAAGTCCAAGTTAGGGAAAGAGTCCAACAGGTATGCATTACCCATCATTCAAGATATTGAAAGAACTAATTTAGCTTTAGTTATTCTCAGTAAAGATTAGCCTATATTCTATTACGATGTATTTATTTATTTAAAATTTATATGTACCTAAAAGACTGTACATAAGGCGAACTTAACACATGAGATACTTGTAAAGTTTTATTAAAATCAATCTTTATCTAGTAGCTTTTCTCATCTATCCTCACTAACATTCGTGTTTAGATATTTTGTCAAAGTGTTTTGTATCAAATAATGTTCAGGTCTGTGGTTTAGCGAGGGTTAGGGTAAACGCGCCATCCTACTCTAAAAAGCTTTCGGGAATCGGGTCTCTTATGTTTTTTTCTTAATGATTCCAGAAGTCGAAGCTCCAACAAAGTGCCCCCAGGCGCGGTCAACCTAGAACGCAGCTACCAGATATGCCAAGCGGTGATCCAGAACAGTCCCAACCGCGACGCGCTGCGCGGCCAGCTACGACCGCCGCCCGCGCTTCTCACGCGGCCATCCCGGGCCCCGCGCCCGCCGCCGCCGCCGCTGCCGCTCCCGCCGCCGCCTATGCTCGTGAGACAGCTGCCTGTACCCGTTATGGCTCATAATGAGGTAAGTTATAGACACAAGTTCACGTTTTAGGTGAGATTTTGATTAGAGCAAAGTTTTAACGCTGCGCGGGCAGTTGCGACCGCCGCTCGCGCTGCTCACGCGCCCCTCCCGCGCGCCCCGCCCTCCCCCGCCGCCGCTGCCGCCGCCGCCTATGCTTGTGAGGCAGCTGCCTGTACCCGTTATGACTCATAATGAGGTAAGTTATAGTCTCATCATCATGTTTTGGGTGAAATTTTGATTAGAGAATAGTTATAGCGCTGCGGGGGCAGTTACGACCGCCGCCCGCACTGCTCACGCGCCCCGCGCCCCTTGTATTGCAACTGCCGCACTTACCTCATTATGAGCCATAACGGGTAAAAATGTACCCGTGTTATGGCTCATTATAAAGTAAGTTGCAATCGCATCTTCACGTTTTGAGTGAGATTTTGACCAAAGCCGTAAGAGTAAAGCTCGGTTTTTCTACAAACCCATAGCACTTTCACAATAAAGAAAATGTGATATTTATTTGGTTCTAGATAAATGAGAATCGACCCAACAATGTGGGCCAGTACATCCTCGTCCAGAGGACTCCAAATGTCGCACCAAGAGCGTCCAGTGCGCCACCCTCTAATCAAAACTCGAATGTGGTGAGTAAATTTTATTAAATACCGAAATTAAAACTCACTGCGAAATATCTTGTAATCGATTTAAATTTCTGATTACGAAATATTAGGCCCAATCGAACGAGCGTCAGTTTTGACAGCGATTCTCAAACTGCGTTGCGCCCTCATAAGGTGGGGCGCTGCGCAAAAAACTATTCTAGTTTTGCAATGCATCTCATATTCATAAAACAATTTAAAGAGTAACCATTTTGAATGCCTATTGTAATTAAAAAAGTTAATAAATAGTAAAATAATTAAGTATAAAATAAGTTTTTTTTTTTTGACACGAAAGTGTTTGACTATCTGAGCAATTAATATCAATAGCCAATTAATTATAAATGCGGTACTTCAAGCAATCTAATTAAACTTTGCGTTGCCTCCAGAGCGTCGCGCGTTGTCGCAGCGTGGGCGCAGAAGATGCGTGCGTTTGCAACCTTCGCGCGATGATTCTCTGCAAGAAGTGCGGCGCGTTCTGCCACGACGACTGCATCGGCTCGGCCGAGCTCTGCCTCACCTGCCTCATACGCTGACCCCGCTGCCACCCCGCCTCGCCCGACCGACAGCGATATCACGTGACCCTCCTAAGACACTACAAATTCATCCGAATTACAGAACGAAACTTGAATCTCGATTCAATTTAAAAATGGATTAAAGCTGCTCGTAGCCGACTCCGTGACGTCGTGAATTTACTGTTTTGTATGTATTTTATGAAATACCATCGGTTGCATGCTAAATACTATGCGTTGTCTGAAAGTATTTTGTAAAAATACATAAAAAAATAGTGTCGCGGCGACACACGTCGTCTGCTGCTGCTGTGTGGAGCAATCACAGGAAAGATTCTATGACTGAGATTGAATCGAGTTTTGGGTGTAGTTTTGTAATTTGGACCTAAGAGTCGCTGCAGGTGAGTGGACACTCGAAGACGGTTGTTAGGAACGGTGGTGCTATTCATTTTCCAGTTTGAACGGTCCGTTTCTTCCTTATTGCATCTGAATCTAAGCGATAGGAGACGGTCTTCTGCGCTTTAAACGCTGTAACTTAAGTCTAATTCGTCTGTGAGACGAATGTATTGCGAAACTTACTTTTAAGTGATCATAGTTGTGTTGTAAATAGTATTCTATTCTATAAAAGTCTGAATGAAAAGTTTAACTAACTTCCAATTGAGTGTGAAAGTATCGAATTACTGGTAAAAGTAATAGTAGTGTTAATAATATGGTACATGTTAGTACAAGTCAATAATGATTTGATGAAAATCATTACTTGTAATGTAGATGCTTCTTCGTGCAGTTGTCTGTATTGAAGTTGTTTACACATGCACTAATTCAGTTTGAATGACATTAATATTGCTGTTAGACTTGTTTTTATTTTATAAAACTTAGAAAGTTTGTTTTGACTAAATAAGTATGATTGTCGAGATCTTATGTAAAGATTTCAAAGAAATGTGTATATTTGGATAGTTTTAATTGTAGTATTATAATACCTCTCTACTAGTGCGACTCTGTGCGACTGACATGTCACCTTTATTAGAATTTCTAAGGAATGGTCAAAAATATAATTTATTGTAAACCAATATGTTTATAAATTATAAGTAAACTTAGATAGTATTTATAAAACAAGGGAATTATTTTAACCATTCCCTTGTTTAATATTTCTTCAGTAATTGTAAATATTGTTTTGTACAGTAGTATTGTATGAGGCATGCCACAATGAATAAAAAAACATCATTACTGCGGTTCTGCTAATGTAATATTGGTTTTCATTATTAATTGCTTTTTTATCTGTGATTCCATTTCTGCTCATATCGAGATCCTATTTAAAAAAAAAACAGGACAGTAATGTAACAAAAATGTTCGTCGTTTGTTTTTAAGAGTACATAATTCTAGCATTTAAGCTATAGACATTGTTTTGCCATTATATTTTTAAAGTTAGGGTACCATCACATTTAATTTTATGCTATTGTTATATTTATTTTTAAGATTATTTTACAATTATAATTGGCAGCAATAGCTGTAATAGGTATTTGAAGCAGGATTTTCGAATAAAAACTTAAGTTTTTTGAATAACATCCTAGTAAAGTAACTTTTGATAACTTTGCTTTGATATTACGAAGTGTATCCAATGTTCTTACTGGCGGCGGTTGGCAGGCTTACTCGCCATCCGATGTCACTTTGTAATTCATGTGTTTGTCTTTAATGGGTGTGTACAGATATTTATTGACTTGAGAAGGCTGATGGACGGTACATCGGGTGGAAATGTAATTTATAGCTAGCGAGGACCTTACTAAAAGTATTTGCTATAGGAATACAACATGTTATACTTAAGTTTTTCAATATGGCGTGTACACTAATGACACTAAGTTATGCAATATATTTATAGTTGTCTATAATATTTTTATAAGAACCTTTTACAAATTGAAAAATAGCTTTTGCTAATTTAAGACTCCACCGTGTTATTGGAATTCAAAATATTAATAATATAATATCCTTCTGATCTCTCAGTTTGTAATCTTATAAACATTATAAATTCTTCTAGCTCATATTGAACGTAGTGTATGGTATGTTATAATAATGATATTTTAACAAAGATAACTGAATTATCAAAACAAATAACTGGTTGGTTAGTATTACAAACGTATATAGAAGACGACGTTAATCGGCTATGCCTAGATTGTTCACATAGCATTGCCTTACCTGACTATTTATATACGCTGTAATTAAATAGAATAGGTATTATAATAAAAACGTTGCTCATTCTGTTTGAAGGACAAATATGATATATATTTTAAGTATATAAAATATCACATGATTGATAAACTTTGTTACAAATCTCTCATATTATTAGATTAGGCTCCTTGTCCACAAAATAAAAAATAAAGGCACTTCTATCAATGTGAAATCAACACACGAAAGCGATATGTATGTTACTGTAAGCCTTTGAAATTAAACTGTAATTTTAAGACAGGGTTTTTGTTACTAGCACATAATATTTCGAAAACTATTACATAAACCTATAACGAGTCTATAAAATAAATATGCAATTTTGATATTACTTTTAAAGAAATAGCGAATCTGTATAGGCATTTAAACAACTGTAACGCCTATAGGGTCTCTAGTAATATTTAGAAATGATTAATCAAATTATACTGGATATGTAGCTAATAAATCCATAGAGATCTTCAGACTTTAGTATAGGTACTATCGCGTGTCGTTTGGCCTTTGTTAACTTAGTTACAGAAATATGATTGTCTTATCTTTAAAATGTTATCGAAATGTAACATGGCATATTTTATTGGTCTAACAATCGTACCATATGTGGTCATAGCATGTAAAGTACTCACTACTCATTATCATTCGCGATTACAAATTTGGATTACCAGTTCATGTTAAGGATTTTATTCAAGGCGCAGGTTAAAAGACACGTTTTAGTACTTGATAGTTAGTTTGATCCAATAACACATCATAGACTGGTCTTTATTTTATAAATAACGTCAAGTGAGCTGTTGCAAAATACATGTTTGTAAGTTACGAATTTTTTGCATTATTGTTATTGATTGGTAATTAGTTACCTACTTTATGGCACATCAAAATTTTTCTTAAATAAAATTATGTTCTTCTATTTCTTTGTTTTTTTTGTTGCCAAGAACTAAGATTACTTCTGCCCATAGGAAAGGTTTTCAATTGTAAGTAGGTCATCCGTAAATCCCTAATACCATTTATGATACATGACTAGCCAGAGTATGCAAATGCAACGCAGAGGAACGCACTGAACATTTCAATGGTTCTTTTTCTCTCTTCAAGTAATCACACGCTTATACCACTGTTTAGGGTCTAAGTTAAGGTCCCATTCCTTCAGGGGCATTAGGAAAAGAAGAAGCAATGGTAGTGTCAAAATATTATAAAATTTGAATAATCCTGGGACAGTATTTTTAAAATGAGAGCCTAAATATTGACAATTAATTTTATTACATTATTTACGTTGACGTCATAATAAAATTCTATTTATTACAAAAACCATACAAAAAAAGATGTTTGGGAACCTGTGGTCACGGTTCTGTGGTCGACAAAAGATTTGACTTGATGTCGATGGTCAGTGCCCAGTGGCCAATTCGCATCGCCATAACTATAATATTTTGAAAAATCATCCGTATGCTATATTGTCTGGTCTGTGAACACGTAGAATTTTGTCCAATGACCCAAGCAACCCATCCTTATTGCTCGCGCGTTGCAGTTGTTGTTGCTGTCGCGCACGCAAACTCACTGCGGGCGCCCGTCGCACAGTCGCGACAGCAATATAATAATTACGCGCGAGCGATAAGGATGGGTAGCTTGGGTCATTGGACAAAATTCTACGTGCTCACAGACCGGGCTTTAGGCACTAGTTAGAGTCACAGACACAGCCCCATTTTCTGTAATGAAAGATAGAATTCTAATATTGACCATTGACCAATAAAAAGTGAGTCTGTTATTATTATTTTTTTTAATGTGATAGGAGGCAAACGAGCAAACGGATCACCTGATGGTAAGTGATTACCGTCGCCCATAGACACCCGCAGACCCATTATTAGTTTACTATTAGAATTAAATCATTTTATTGTATGATTTCAAATTGAAAGCACCCGCAAAGGACAATTTATTATCTCTATCAGAAAGAAAAATTAATTAGCACCAGAACTAAAGAAATTCTGTTTAGTTATAGGATTAGACCACTTTATTTTAGTCCCGAACTCCCGATATGCCGTACACTTTGTTGATTGTTGTTGGCAGGAATGGCATGTCAGTACTCAGTGCCCAATTCGCAAAGCCCTAACTATAATGTTACAACCATGGAAAATTGGAAACCATCCGTAGGCACTAGAGTCACAGCCCCATTCTCAAGGTTTCAAATGTCAAAAAACTATTGACCAATAAAAAAGTAGGTCTGTCATTGATCCACCAATAGGATTAAATTATTTTATTATCGGATTTCCAATTGCACCAATAGAAATGAGTTATGATTTTTGTTCTAGAAACTGTCAGATTTGTTTTGAAAGCTCTTGTTGGCCGATCTGAAAAAAAAACAGTTCCTCTCGTATTATCTCGTCAGGCGGACGGTTCTTGAATAAATAAAGTTATTTCCTTTCTACTAAGGAAGTTACATTGCTATTATGTAGGATTCACTTCTTGTAAAGTTGGCATCTAACATAAATATCGTCAGAATGTCTACGGTTCTTTTAGCTGTTGTTGCAGTAATTTTGTGTGTGCTTTTCCGATTGCTGAATGTGAACAGTCAACCGCAGAAACCTGTGATTTATGGAAAAGATAGGAGTTTCATTGAGAATATATTATTCATCTCACCTTTTTTGAACGAACCGTAAGTATTTGTTTACATTTTAGTTAAACTTCCATTCATATTAATTGCATTTTACAATATCCCAACACTGTGTGGGTCATGCTTGTAAATCGTGTTTGATGATGTCATATCATTCTTTCTGGACAATAAAACTTTATCGCAAAACTTAGTTCCGATAGTTTATTCCAAATATGTATGATAAATAGAAATTTAGAACATTTGTACAATAACGTGATATTGGTACTAATATCTACAGTAATGTTTTTAAAAGGATAGGTACCTATAGTCTATCCAATATAGCGGGTACAAGGAAGAGGGGCAGCCACATTAGGTAACACAGAGTCGTTCAGGAGAGTGCCAGGAAGAGGTGCAGCAACCGCAGTTAAGGAACGGCTGGGACGAACAAGGATAAGCGAATCAAACTCGTGAGCCTTGTTAGGGTTACACTGGTTAAGGCGACCCTTTACAAGGCTTGGAAGCATGTGGGTAACAAGCCATTGGACGTGGAGAGGGTCATTAATTATACGTATATTTTCTACTTTGCCGAACTTTAGCGCGAGAACGGTTTGTCCAAAACATATGAATTTGGTCTTATTCAATGCAGGATTAAGTGCCCTTTAACCATCATGAAGACCACTTTTCGATAGGGTAAGTCCTTTACGCGGTATAACCGAAAAACCGAAAAAACGCCCCTTTCGGGGGCCCCCACCACTTAAGCACAACTCCGTCGAAGTCGAAAACTTAGGAGAGTCTTAATGGGCAACCAATGAAGCCATTAAAGCAAAAAAATCTTTTGTAGGAATTATTTCCGATTTAATCAATTTTTGTGTTTAATTCTACTGGCCTATATGTATCTTGTCTGAGGAAAATGAAATAACCAATCAAGTATGCAATTATTTTATTACAATATTCATTGCAGGTACATTCCAACTCGATTATGGGGCTTCAGTGGCCATGTCCAGACCATCCTCCACAGCCTTATAGGGCGGGTTCGCTGCCCATGGCCTATTGGTGGAAGGGTTTCACTAGTCCTGCCTGACAAGTCAACTCTAACATATGATCTCTATGAGCCAGTTGGATCGGAACATGAAGGTAAATATAAAAATCTATCAATGTTTACTGATCTTATAAAATATGCCCATAAATATTTACACCTTAATCTGATAGTGGCTGAATTGATGCCATTTACATTTTTAACTTTAGTGAGATAAAAGGTTCAAAACCAATCCAACCAAATCTTATTACTAGGTACGACGATGACAACGACGCGACGTGTATCATGATGATCACATTCACATAACGCAGTGATGCTGCAGACTGCTGCAAATGTCGTATTAGTAATCTAATAGTGCTGAAACACCTGAACTAACTTTATTTTCTCCCTTTCCCTAGTCGCCAGGCAGACATCAAGTGCATACCTAATCACAGATAACATAATACTAGTACCTATCAACGCTATTCTACCCATTATACCTACATACATGCAGTCATCAACCATAACAAATTTTTATCACATTGTAAAAATTTTAATTTTCATCCTTCCTTCCATTAGATGACGTCACGGTTGCAATCTGTCCCGGCATCGGCAACACATCGGAGAGCGTTGTAGCGTTNTACCTTGCAGCGTGTACATACGCACATACGTCCACTACTCCCAGTGTCACGGCTACAGGTGCGCCGTACTGAACCACATCGGTGCATTGAACAGCGTGCCGGTTACCGGCAGTAGAATATTCTCGTATGGTGAGTCATCATGGTTCTATATTGGCTCACATAAAATTCTAAATCCTATTCTTTGTCTTACTACCGATTTTTGTTCATAATAATCTCTCTTCATAATTTTATTTTTCATACTTTTTTTATTCATACTTTTTTATTACTACCAACGGAGCTCATAACAGTCAGTAATCATAATTTTTTTATCAATACTGTTGCTACCAAGAAACATTTTAAGTACATAATTTTTTTTTTCATATCTTTTTTCTTCATAACATTCAATGATCATATTGTTTTAATTAATAATGTTGTTACTAAGAACATACTTCAACTCATAATGTCGTTGTTCAGAATAACTTACTTCATAACAGACAATATTATATAATTTTTGTATTAACCGATTGAGTCCCAGACGGCATTAATTAATGTCATAACAATTGATTATCTATTGTGTCTAGATTCGCGGAGCTTGAAGGATTAAGAAAGGCAATACTAAGAAAATATTTTAACTTATGTCATTTTCCATAATCGTAAAATATGTTAAAAATAATTTTAATTTATTAGCAAGTAAGCGGGTACTCTTCGAACAGCATAGCCGTATCTCGGCCTTACGTCATTCGTATCAGTGTGCAGCATTGCAATGAGTGTTAACGTTTTGTCTTTATAACGCATAGAAATGGATGACATTTATATTAATTCTTTTAAAACAAGTCGTGGAGGACTTAAATTAAATTGGGACGGTTTCATATATGAGAAAAACAGAGTGAGTAATGGAAAACAATATTGGATATGTGAATTACGGAGCAGTGAAAAATATCAATGCAAGTCAAGAATAACAACTACATTTGATGAGGAAAAAAAGATGTATAAATTACTCAATAAGTCAAACAACGGACACAACCATGATCCGGATTCATTAAAGGAAAAGGTTTGTTTTTAATTTATTATTATTTTTAACCTAACCTGTTTTCGACAATGCATTGGTATCTCCTCGTCTCCGGCGCTGCAGGATGTGCAGCCCTTCCGCCCTTGCGTAACGAGGCTCAGGCACCCACGCTTGCTTCCGCAGCTTCGGCTTTTTGGATCGCCATCGGCGCCTTCGGCGCCTCGGCGACCAGCCTCAGCCGCTCCAGCTCGCCCGGGCGCCTGAGCCTCGTTACAGCGGGCGAGGGCTGCCCTCCCTCCGCGCCTCCGGCTTTTAAATTACACTCTAGGGGTAGGGCAGACAAGACTACGTGGAGTCGGTTTTGCAGCGATTCGTGTCTGTCACGTTAGTTTTGTAGCACAAAATATTGCGTTTTGGACCATTTCAAATTAATTTAATGTTAAATAACGATTTATTAAATTTCAATTATATCGATACGACGCACCCGCATTTTTAGGGTTTTGTAGTCATGACAAGGAACCTTTATAGTTTCGATATGTCTGTCTGTCTGTCTGTCCGAGGTTTTGCTTAGAAACTAACCCCCTTACTAATAAAACTTACACGCTCGTTGAACAGTGTTTTAAAGTGACGTTTAGTATGGAAATGTCATTTTAAAACAGTGATCAACAACTGTGTATCTTTTTATTAGTAAGGGGGTATATATATTGTTGTAACGACGGACAACTACGGAACCCTACACTGCGCTTGGCACGACACGCACTTGGCCAATTTTTAACTTAACCTTCTATTTTTCTTTTACTTACTTTTTTTCATTGCAGGTACACAGCACTATAAACAAATTGAAGAACGACGCATTAAATAACATGCAAAAGAAACCAATACATGTTATCGAACAATGCATAGCAAGTACTTCATCCACTGTACTGTCTAGTTTGCCTTCGAACTTGAATTTAAGACAAACAATTTATCGTCAGAGAAATAAGCAAGATAAATTAAAAGAACCAGACTCAATTAAATTTGAAATAAATCGTGACTATCTCAAAATGAACGAAGATGAAAACATATTAGTTGATAAAAGATTTGATGACAATAAAAGAATAATAATATTCACATCAAAGACATTGCTCAAGTGGTTATGTTCCTCCATTTATTTAATAATGGATGGAACATTTAAAGTTGCTCCAACCATGTTTAAACAAATATACACAATTCACGGTTGTGTAAACTCAAAAACATTTCCTATGGTTATCACATTATGTACAAATAAAGACAAAATCACCTACGATACCTTATTTTCATCTTTGATTGAATACTGTGAGTTATTAAATTTGACTTTATCGCCTAAGTTCATTTTGATGGATTTTGAAAAGGCGTCACAATTAAGCGCAAAAACTGTATTTGAAAACACAATTATTAAAGGTTGCTACTTTCACTTGGGCCAAATTATATACAGACAAGTGCAAAGTAGGGGGTTCCAGAAGTTATATGGAACAGACGAATCATTTTCGTCCGAAATTAGAGGTATTTTAGCACTCGCTTACCTGTCGCCAGAGGAAATACCCGTTTATTTTGATAAATGGATTGAAAATATCTCTTCCAACGCGAAAATTATTGCAGATTGGTTCAATGAAAACTATATATGGGGCACTTGCTCTTCTCCACCCAAATACGATCCAAAAATATGGAGTACTTTTGAACTAAATGAGCACAACATACCACGAACACAAAATAATGCAGAAGGGTGGCATAACCGTTTTCAAAACTTGGTTGGACAGCACCACGCCGGTTTCTACTTCTTATCAAAAAAGATACTGCTTGAAATTAAACATCAAACAGCCGAAATTGAAAAACACCTGAATGGAAATCCGCCTGCCAAAAAGACAAGACAGTATACCAATAAATCTGATCGAATAGATAACGTATTGAAGAAACAATCTGAACACAGTAACAAATGTGATTATTTGAAAGCATTAGCCTCTAATATTAAGTTAATTTAGCTATATTAGAAAAAAAATGATTAAACATGTTTTTATTATAATATATGTATATACGGGTGTCATTAGTATTTTCATATACATATTCTGTAAGTGTGATTAATAATATATACCAATCGAACCTGATATTTATAGTTTCATTTGCATACAATAATATGGATTATGATTAAGAAATTTATAAAAACAAATATTAGGATAAATCACATTTATGAATATTATAGTTATTTATTCGAATGATTATGAGTTTCGATCATTAGTATAGAAAAATATATGAAAACAAATATTAGTAAAAACTAAGTGTATGATTAGTGATATTATGAATATCAATGATTATGTTTTTAAATATGTAGGTTTTAAATTTTTTATGAAGAATGATCATTATGGTATCAAATTGTATGAGAAATATTTTCGGAACTCCAATGATAGGAATTAAAAAGTTATGTAAGAAAATGCGCTACCAGTCATCATACTTAGCGCCGATGTTTCAGGCATAGCAACCATCCGACTTTTCTCTTGCACATCCAAAGCATATTAAACTTTATCGTCATACGTTTAAATATTAAACTGGCAATGAGTTCGGTCCGGTTCTCCGGTGCGCATGCTAATGATGCAATATAACGCATACGCGTGTGCCCCTTCTCGTTTGTAGGCTTGCCAAGCTGCTGGTATGTGTGCGACATTTAAAAGCCCACAACGCTGTCGTCAAATTGAACCCGTGAAATAGAAATCCATAATGTTTGTTTATTATACACTACATTAAGACTAAAACTAAACTAGAACACGAACAATCTAATTCTAATTAGTCCTTGTTTTATACGAGTTATGCGTCCAACCAATAATTAAAATGCATTTCTAATAATAACGATTGTAGCAAGCAATTATTCCACAATTTTTCTTCTCATGTGTGTGGAAAATTCCGTAAACGATCATCGTAAAGCCATTGTTACTTACATTTCTGCTAAATGTAGTTTAAAGAAATGTAGGTACCCTCAGATCATATCTATGATATCTATGATCTGAGTAGGTACCCTTTACCCCTGCACCTGTAAATTTCCTACTCTGTAAGTCGAATGTGAACTCTGTGGACTGACGATGACAAATACATGATGGGGAGATGAGGATGCAGGCAAAGCGAACGCAGAATCGGCCGTAAATCTTTTGGGGAACGCTTTTTGTTCAACATAAGTCTTTTTTGTTTGAAACAAAATTCAATGAGACTTGCTAATCAAGAAGGTTGATTTATCAACGTGTGTCTTATCTAGAGACAATGACTTGTTAAGTTATTAATGGTATCATAACGATATAGGTAGCAACTCTGTACACACAGGTGCAGCAGGCAACCAATGAATTTATTTGCTATGGATTTCCGAGAAGAGTAGCATTCATTATTATTATATCAATTTATATCTCGTTGAGAAACTACTGGAGACTTCGATACCAACTATGTAATAACAAGCTTTCCGCCCGCGGCTTGCGTGGAATTTTGTCTGTCACAGAAAAACTTTATCGCGCGCGTCCCTGTTTCAAAAACCGGGATAAAAACTATCCTATGTCCTTTACCGGGACTCAAACTATCTCTATGCCAAATTTCATCAAAATCGGTTCAGTGGTTTTTTAGGCGTGAAAGAGAGACAGACAGACAGACCGAGTTACTTTCGCATTTATAATATTAGTATAGATAAGTAATACTTAATGTTATCTTCATTTTTCTTGCATATGAGTCATGGCCAGTCATGGGAGACTGCATGTGCGAGCATTTTTTTGTCCTTCGGAATATTGATCGTGTAGGTACGTGAACTCTATCGTTATTAACCAAATTAAAAAAATAATACCTTTGTTTTGTTTATTATGAAAACGTTGTGGCGTGTGAAGATTATTAATTAAGCATAAATGTTTAATGAGTGGAAATCATTTATTGCGTTAATAAAGATAAAATTAAGGAAAATGATATTACGAAGTTAATTTGATCAAGATTTCACTTTTTCTAATATCGAAAATATTAAAGCATTATCGTATCGTAAGATGTACACGATTGCCTTTCATGAAGAGATATTTCATTACTCTTGAATCGAAAGTGAATAAGTACATTTATTTTTCTTCTAGCTAGGTAGATAAAGTGTTAAACACTCGACTCGGCGGAGTCTTGGTTTTTTGGTCTTGGATTCTCAAATGAGACAGACAAACGAATGAATAAATAATTTTAAAATACATAGTTCCGACCGAGTTTAGTTAAGAAATGCGGTGTTAAAGTATTTCTGCTCTTGTTCTGGTAGATGTCGGCCGTATGTGGAAATCCTTGGCCTTTGTCCAGCAGTGGACGTCCTTTGGTTAAAACGAATTCTGTATTGTTTGGTAGTAGTGATATTGAAACCAAATCACTAACTGACTAAACCATGGCAAAACACATGCCCGATTATGATACAGCCCTAGAAAACGATAAAGTTGCAAGTACTTATGAATCACGCCCTTCTTGCCTGAACGTGAGGTCGACATTGACTGCGCATTCCTCGACAAATGTATAACTAACAAACAAACTACAGTACAAACTCTACTGTAATATTAGCTACAAATGCTACACGAATGAAGAATTTGATTAATCAACGGCATTGTACAGTTACATAGTCCTAATCATTGCATTTATTGTAACCATATTGATAAAAATCTGTCTGTAAAATCCATTACTACCTGCCACAAGTTATACTCGTGATTGTCGTCTCACGAAAGCAGGGCAATTTTCCAGTGTTTATATTGCTCTGCTTATCAATTGAATTGTAACTTAAAATTTTCCACACCAATTTATCAAATGAAATGATACACAACTCTAGAATGAATCTCAAATGAATCACGGCGTGCCAATATTCCTGAATTGACTTCCTCTTTTTTTTTCAGGGCACACCGACGATTTCAACTACATGATAGAAAACTTGTTAGAACGATATCCTAACACGAAGATAATTCTAGTCGGATTCAGTCTTGGCGGCAATTTGATTACGAAATACCTAGGCGAAGACAGGAAGAGACCTAGCAACATAATAGGGGGCATTTCCATATGTCAGGGATACAACGCTCTTGAGTAAGTTACCTGCGTTTAATTCAACTGCACCTACTTGATAGCTAAAATTATCTATTTATGTTTATTGAATGATTAAACACGATGGAGGACTGTTGTGGACGCCGACTAGGGGACATAGGACTTTAAGTCAAGTCATTTATCTAAATAGATGTACATTAACATTTAATAACGACAGAAGCATTATAAAAATCCTCGTTCTACATTAAAAATGTCATGTAAGCAATACTTACTCAAGCATCTACATTCATGCTCTGATTGCAAAACATCGTGAACAGACGGGTCTCTGCTGATCACCGCATTTACGTGATATTTCCAGAAATATAAATGCTTATTATAAATATTGCTCCATCATTAACTTCTGCATCTGAAGTAAATTGTAAACAGTAAACATGTATTTGTTATGTTACGATAACCTGACCTAAAAACAACAAAATTTTAACGACTATTATTAACTCAGCCTAATCACTGTTAATTGGTGCCAATGACACGTGTACACTCGACAGCTCATCAGGCTTTACATTATTATATCATTTATTTATTTATTTTTACCAACATACCATCTTTACAGGTCAATAATCTAATGCGACACTATAAATTTGTAGCAATCACACCTATTAAAAGTACATAAAGATGCAGGTGTTTATCTTGATGTACAGACGATGACACATCAAGCGAAAGAAAGATAAAAAGATATCTTAAATAGTTGTGATAGAGACGTTTTTCCAACAAAATTGTAGTCTGATATGCTATCGTCTGTTCCAACAAGTGCATGCGCTTTAGGGCTGATTTTACCATCGTCGGATAACTTTAAACTGAAGAATAAACTTGTCATTTTGACATATTTCCCATACTGAAACTGTCGAATGTACCAGTTATACCAGGAGTTATTTTCGTATAAAAGTTTGGTCGAATTGGGCCTTAGTAGTGCGCTGCTACAACAATCTACATTCAGGATGAAAAACTTAACTAATGCTTTTTTTATTTCCAGCACTATGGTGTATTTATTGCAATGGCAAAATTTCCGCCGTTTCTATCTGTACATAATGACAGACAACTACCGGAATATTATCACCAGACATAAAAGGATGCTGCTCAATCAAGAAATTAAAAACAGATATACTCTGGATGAAAAAATGATAGTATCGGCCGGTACTCTGCCGGACCTGGATGAGGCTTATTCAAGGTATGCGACTTATGAATAAAATTAATATTAACACTTAAATGCTGAATTTAAAGTATATCGTACTTGTGGAAGTCATTTAAACGAATCCTGTCTACTTGATTTATAGGCTGGTTTAATTTAAAATAAATTATGTATCGTAATTTTTAGAACAGTTTTATGATCATAGAAAAGGGATCTTATCATAAACGGATACGATTTTTATTTTTTGCGCGTTCTTAGGTTTATGCTCTTACCTATTTAAAAGATATGACTAAGACCATGATTAACGCGTATCAAATATTGTACGAATGTCTTGATATTTGATACGCCCGATTACTGAAACCATAGGTTACCGATCTTCCTTTTTTTTTTGGACTATCCCGCGGATTTATTGCCGCGGTGATTCTGCCAATGTCAAGTGTTTAAGGAGACACATACTTTAGTCCGCTTCAGTAATATTAATGCTGACCGATCTTCCTCATAACACAGTACGAGTTTTGTAATTTTTTGCGACTGAACTTTATGATTTATAGCCTGATAAAAATAATTATTGTATAATGATTGTTAGATAAAACTAACGGTGCTATAATTTTAATTTTATTAAATGTTTGGATCAATATGTGTATATGTAGTGTACTCGTATTTGGCCAGTACAAATAAAATTGCAGCATTTTTTTAAAACTCTCTTTTTGTTGTGAGCATAAAACACCTTCAAACAACTGTGTATTACATTATTAGTACATTACAGGAGAGTACATGGATTCGACTCCGTCGCGGAACTCTACAAGTGGAGTTCCTCAGCATTCTACCTGAAGAACATCAATACTCCTATGATATTCATCAACGCCCGCGACGACCCTATTGTACCTGAACCGCTGCTGCCACTCATCCGTCAATTTGTCAGTAAGTAAACATAAATGTTTTCATATTCTATTTATACATATAAAAGCGAAAGATGACTGACTGACTCACTCATCACGAAATCTCAGAAACTACAAGTGCTAGGAGTCTGAAATTTAGCATGGGGGTTCCTTTTAGAACGTAGGTGCTCATTGATGTGATTTTGCAAAATTCAACTCCTAAGGGGGGCAAACGGGATCCACGCGTACGAAGTCGCGGGCGGCTACCAGTTAGTTAATCATAAGTTTTCGTAGCTGGGTTTCGTCAACCGTCGTGGTGGGATAAGTAAGCATCTAACAAATTTTATTAATGTGAAAAGTCATTCCTTAAAGATGACGTCTCAACCATAATCAGTAGATGACATTGAACAAGTGAACTCACCTCATATGATGTCATCATCGGATGCCCGATTTTATATTGATGACGTTCCTCGGAAAGGTAAGTTTTAAAAACAAAACTAGTTCTGCAATCGGATGTTACTATCCGGTTCAGTTACGTGAACATTCTTAGGTAATATTGAAAATGTATAATATCGTAAAATGTTTTTTTTTTAAACTTGGCCACGCATTTTTTGTTTATACCACAATATAGATTAAGGAGGAAAATATTGCATAACAATCAATTCCTATAGCAATACATGCATGAATGGCTAAACTGTAAAGTAATAGAACATCGTAATGCTAGTCAAACATTACAATAGAACTGGATTCGATAATTTGCAACGTTACTCAATGAGCAGCATACACGCGCTCTACACATGACATCATTATTTCCATACAATGTTCACAAATGATTTTATTTTGCTAATAATAGTTACACGTGGAAATTACTTGAAATAAAATTTATTTTTACGGGCACATGCACTTTTGTACGCGGTATAAGGTGGATGAACAGGAAGATGAAAATAGCCAGAAATCATAAAGCCCTTACGCATACTTAGTATCCACCTTACTCTGTATCTTATCTGCGCAGTCTGCGCTAACATATCCCTGCGACATTAAATTTATTTTATTTATTTATTTAAAAACTTTATTGCACACACAAAAAAGCGGTAAAAAAGATTCGTATTTTTGCGAAATTATATCAATCGGAATTCTAATGACTCATCATTAGAATTCCGATTGATATAATTTCGCATGTTATATGAGATGTATTGTCTCTGATTCAGAGCTCGAACCCCCAAGACAATCCCGGCCTACGGTCCAGCCCGGCTATATTTAGTAACGTTTTATTCATTATTCAATTCACGACCGTGGCCTGTAGTTCTACTTTTCCACGCCCACGCCCGCATTGCCCTACGGTGCATGATACTTTAGTCTGCGCCTATAATGGAAATTTTCTATACGTAAACAAAAATGTAACAGACGTTATTTTTGTTAAAACTCAAATGGCTACAGTCATTTACCTCTTGAGTCATAGCCTGCCTATTTTTCAAGACTACCAATTTCGATAAGCGCCGTACAGTCATGATTTCACTGATTGATTTGTTTTGCTTTCAGGTTCACACGAAAAAGCTATGTATTTGGAACTAGCTCATGGAGGTCACTTGGGTTTTTACGAAGGGGGACTCGTGTACGCCAACCCTGTTAACTGGCTGGACCGAGCCTTGGTGGGCTTGGCCGGCGGCCTCCTCATGGCACACAACAAGTGTTCACAGAAAGACACCACCACTATCGGAACAGAAATTCACTCAGATGATGAACCAGATCTTATAAAATCGTCAACAATAGTATACTACGATCCACTGGACAAAGTTCAAAAAGCTTACTAATATTACTGGGCTGACCCTAACCTACTACCACTTTTGGATTTAGCCTAAAAATAACAAATTAAGTAAGATATTTATATGAGGTTTTATTATTAATAGAGGTTTGGTGTACTTTGATAGAATATGCATTACTAATGTACTTACCAAACTTGAATGCACAGTGGAGAGTGATACCATCAGATAATTATTTTACATCTTTTTTTTATTTAACAATAATACTTTGCACAAAGTCCACAAATTTAGCACATTATTGCATGTTTTTGTGTTGTGACATAATATGATTACTTTAGATGTTGTGATATATACTTTGTTTATTTATGTACTTATGCATTTATTTTAATATATTTATTCTGCATGGCATTGAAAGTGAAAAACTAGTTGTATGATAACATTGGATAAAAGTTTGACGCTATAGGAATATTGAGTAGATATAATGTATGTTATAATAATGTTCGATCGAAGTCACAGCACTGAAATGGAATCTGTTGCCTTACTTTGTAACAAAAATTCAACACATTTGCCTTTATCAGTCTTTCTCACTCTCCCTAGTGAATGAGAGGGGCGGATAGAGCCTAAGTATAAGCAGAAATATTTTTACGAAGTATGTTGCTGGGTGTTGTAAATTGGTTGGCCACTAGAAATCATGTTTCCGACTCGTAGCATAATTGCATTTTAGTCGAAGATTTTTGAGGCTAATAGCTATGAGGAATGTGTATATTATCTTATATTCAGTCGGAAACCTACTTATTCCTTACTTAAGCTGTAGGGCGTGTTTCCATTATAAGGCAAACTACGGGTGAATGCACCAAAAACCGAGTCTTGATTCAGCGAACATGTATGGTCGCACGGCTCGCCTTGAGCAATGTTGGTTATTTCATAAGTCATCTTTTCCTTGCCGACTAATGGAAAAACACCCATAAATGTTCTATTCAAATTGTTATCAAGCCCATTCTTCTGGCTGACTAATAGTAAATTACGAATTTATATTATAGGCTTACTTTAGGATCGATTCTGAGTAGCGCCTAATACGGATATTGAGATTACATTATATAATATGATAGATAACATAATTTGTATTATAATTTACCACATACGCACGCGACACTACACCATACTGTTTAGCACCTACCACAGGGAATATGTCTCATAATAGTGATGAACTTTAGATCGGATACATGTCCTTTGCTGTTATCGCTGACTATAATTTGTAATATTGTTAGATTTATATAAACAAATAGATACTGCTGTGTACACTGCTAGCCTTGCTAGAGCTTGCGCTTAGCGTAAGTTTTACTCGATATCAATGACGTAGAGGCCCTATTTTTATACAAAAAAATGTACCAGCGTGCTATCCGCTGTAATCAGAATATTTCGAATATAATGACGTTATTTAATTACCAATATGGAGTAAACTGTATAAACTAACGTCTATACCCTCTACTATAAGCTGTATGTCGCTTGCATCTCATTATAAAGTTTAAACACATGGCCTAAAATTATGATAACTATTTATTTTTTTATTACGATATGAGATTACCGTCAGAAAGAATATACAACGACATAAATTAGATATAGCTTGTGAGTATACTTGACACGAATGGTATTAATGAATGAATATAACAAAATAGACCAAATTTGGAGGATCTCAACGATTTCGCTTGTGTAGCGATAAAATGTATTGCGTTGTTTTGTGTTGAATAAATTATCAGTGTATGTTTCCTACTGTCAAAGTATCATTCATACTTTGACGACTAAATGGTTTGTTGTTCACATTCTGGATTACCAAGCCAATAGTCGCGGGAAGTCCCGTAGAGGAATGTATGTGTTATGCACGAGCGTTTGTACCAGACCAGAGTAATAATGTAATAGACCAGAGTAATAATTGTTTTTATCTCATTCTACAAACATAAAAACTCTGCTTAGGATGAGACTAGATAATTGACGCGAAGGTGGAAGAAATTTGTTGTTGATATGTGTCAATTTCGATAACAAAGTCCCACTTCATAAATCATACATTTTGTGGGGTGCAAAGATTTCGACTTTGGCCAACGTTCGATTAGGAAATAAGGTAGGATTCGCGGCCTTTTGTTTTTGTGTGCCTTGTTTAAAATATATTTGTATGTATTAGAATAGAATGTAATAATACATAATAATAATTTGATATATTTGTTCAAAAGAGATTTGCTATAAGAATTTATGAAAGTTTTATTTAGGGACCATTTTAATTTGTTTGCGACTGTTAACAAATTCCATAATACATAAATTTATATTTCCATTTGATTGAATATAACAGCACCAAAACAGTTCTTCTATTTGTCAAAATTGTTAATTTTAAGTACCTATGTTAACACTAGTGTATTTTGTTTTAAATCCCTATTATCTATTATTATTTGGTAGTATTATTGTTGAACTATTTATTAATATATAAATATGCGTGAAAGTACAAACTTGTTAAAAGCACAATTTGTGTTGTGTCTATTTGTTTTAAATCGGCGGAGTGGACAGTTTGTAATATTGAACGTGCTTAAATCTGCTTAGAATACATAGGTACATCATGGATTTATGGTATATTTATGTGTCAATAAAAATTGATGTCGAAATAATAATGCGATTTTTTACTTTTTATCCCATTCATGTTCAAATTATTCATTACAAAAAGATTGATAAATAAGTATATTCTAAGTAATAATATAAAACTTTAAGAGACGGGTGAATTTACGCTGCCTTAATTTTAATTAACCTAAGCCTAGCTTAAAATATTTTGTAAATGGAATATTACAATTTTGCAAAGAAACGTGTCATGGCATGATACATAATTAAATATTAACAAAATTTGAGCAATAAAAATATGAGATCAAACAAATACAAGACATGAAATTGAGAAGCTGCTACTGTTCAACCGTGTCGGCTCCATCAAGGCGGTTCAGAACCTCGCGCGAGTTACGGTAGACTCGGTTGTCGTAAGATTCGGTAAAAAAAATGGCATACAAAAATTTTAAATCAAGTTATCAAATGGTTTGAATCACCTACCTGCTAAAGCAGCGCGGTCCGAGAGAGAACGGAGATGTGTGGGTAACTCGCACTCCGCCCCTCTCCGATCACCCACCGACTTCAGAAATTAGACCATATTAGGTTTACATACAAACATACTAATTGAGATTCTGATTGCTATAATACAATATGGACTAATTTACAGTTGAAATTAATTGGATAAAGTAATAAAATGATAATATCAATATTCCAAATACAAATATCACAACATTTTCCTTAAGAATTAGCTTTTTTACACATACAACTTAGCATATTATTACACATCAATAGATAAGTATTTAGATACATACAATCTTAATTTACAATATTTTAAAATAAATTTAACACCAGATCTATAGGTACTATTTGTAAAATAAAAAGAGAGCATTATTATAATATCAAAATCATTAAAATAGCATGGACACGAAGTTATGGCATCTGGGAGGTAAATGCATACAAATAATAATGGCTACTTAATTAATAATTTTTTACATACATGCCAATAGTACAACATGAGTGCATTTTCATCTTACTTACAAAAAATATAACAATACTTTTACAGTGTCCTTAAAATATGTTTTAGGGTCAATTATCTTATAACCACTGGAAAAAAATATTTTAACTCCCTACCTAGATTTGTGAAACTGATATTTTACAGTCTTTTTACATCGGTTTTAAATCTGAGTATTTTCAGAATAAATTAAAGCTTTTTTACAAAATAGATATTGTATAAATGAGTATTTCTCAAAAAAAATGTACATTTTGAAAAAAAAAGTGTGCTTTGAAACAGTTCAAAAGTTTTATATTTATAAATCATCACACAAAAAAAACACACACACAATTTTGAAGGATGAATATTAATCTTTAAGATAACGAANCTCAAATAAATTACGTAAATGCAATTAAATCGTTACTTACAGTGTCATATAGTCAGCATATAGATGTGGGATCTCCTTCCATAGTGCATGCTATATTATCTAATTTATGAGCTAAGTGCATTTTGTTTTCTAGTCCTAATATAATTTGTTCTCTATACTTACTGACATAAATGTACAACTCTTTTAAGGCAGACAGAGTATCAAACTCATTTAACTGTTCTACAGAGAGTTGTTGCATAGAAGTACTTAATTCTTGGTCTGTAACTTGAGGTAATTGCGAGACTGCTTGATAAAACTGAATAACCATTTCTCTGTACGTGGGCAAGTCTTTTGCAAACAATAATTTATTTGATGGCGAATCTTTACACAATCGATGCTCCGTCAAAGAACAGGCATCCATAAATGTTTGTGCGATTACTGATAGTGATGAATCAACAGTAGCCGTTTTGTTGATATCAAATATGAAATCGGGATTTTTTATAAGATTTACCCAAAATCTTAGAGGTAAACTATTTGACTTCCAAGCATGAACTACCTCTGGATTCATTATGCCATGTGCTCTGGCAGCATCATCAAACAAGTCAAACAACCACTTCACAGCTGGTGGTAAAACTTCGTTTACAGTGAGGACAGTACTAAAGAAGTCGTCAACAAACTTGTGCACTGTTCCTTTGGTGGACAAAAGCCTGGTGAGGAATATCTCTGGGATAGCTTTGTGGCTATGTTCTGACGATTTGTTAACAATGTGCTGATACTCAATGGGTTTAACCAAGTGATAATAATGTACGTTTTGATCAGTGATATCGCTATTATACACTCGTATATGCGAATTTGAACAATAAATACCAGTACAATTCTTGCATGGAATTTTGTATGCAGTGTTGAAACTGTCGTTTTGGCGTGATATTAAAGACATCACTGCGGATTCTTTGACGCCATAATGAGCTAAGGTATTGAGTTTCCGCCAGCCGTTCAGCGTCTTTGTCGTAAGGTCTTCATCTTGCAGAGTTACGTGTCCGCCTCTTCCATGGCGCCATTCAAGATCAACTTCGTGGACGGAAGGTCGTAACGAAAATGGAGTATTTTTAAAGAGAGCATCTAGTATTTTTGATTTTACTTGTGATATGCTATCACAGTCTAAAACTTTACATTGAACCTTATCGTCAAAATCATCTTGTACAATGTGTAAAGTAATAGTTTGATAGTTTATTTGTTCTTTTAAAAGTTTTTCTTCTGATAGAGAGTACCGTGCCTCATGTGTTATGGCATCAACCACCCCTTTTTCGATTTGATGTTTAATGGCTTTAAACAATAAAAATAATGAAGAGCCAGCATAATCCTTTAAATAATAATACATGCACAAAGCCATCCAGTTTGTTAACATTTTCTCCACAACACTTTCTGTTCTCCTTAGCATTAACTGAGGGTGCTTGTTACAAATGGATTTGTCTATTAGGCGCAACAATAGTGACTTCAATATATCCGTGGCATATTCCATCTTGCCCATAAGTATAATCATCAGCAAAGAAGCTACATTTACTTTGTCTCTAATGTTAAAAGATTTTTGTGCTTCTAATGTGTCTATAAATGACAGAAGGAAACATTTATTATTCAAAAGTTGTTCAAATTGAATCATAGCTGCGTCGTAATTTGTCCTAGGAGCATTAATAAATTGACTTTGCACATTTAAAATAGGATGATCTGAAACTCCAGGGAAAAATACTTTCATGACATAATTCACATGATCAAGAGTTGGAATACCTGAATGTTCCAAATCTGCTGCCAGATCTGACATATCAGTTTGCAATTCTGCAAAAGCAAGTTTACATTCTAATCTGACATTACTTTCAAGGGTGTCCATTTGTATTTGTATTCTCTTATATTCCCTTTCTGCCTTTGTGCTCCTCCTTCTGTACATAACCAATACAATCATAAAAATTAAGACTAAAAAGAAGGTTCCAGCAGCAATCCCTGCAATAGCTTCTGGTGGGAAATTATAATTTCTCATTAATTCATAGTGAAGGTATCCAATAGGAAATCTTAGATTTTTTCCAACTTTCACCACAACTAAGGGTAAGTTTATTTCCAAAACTTGCACTCCATTTTCATCTGTGTTAGAGGGTTGTATTTGAGGAGGTGTACAAAGAAGCTGTTGCATTGTTAAGCTTGTCACATTACAGGGCTGAGTGCCGATTGTTACGACCACATCTGATTCATCACTAGCTCTAATCAAATTCTCACCCTCAATCACAAGAGGATCACCACCTTTGTATGATTTTATCCTGTTTGGAAACTGGTATACATGGGGATCTTCCACAAAAACCATGTGAGTTCTAGGAGGATTAAAATATTTTTCTAAATCATGCATAGTCTCTACATTATCCATTACAAATCCAACTTTCATTGCTATCTGTGGGGTACTTGTTTGAGATTTGGTTGCTTGTAATATATCATGATATTTTGCATTTATTGCAGGGCTTGGACATTCCATTTGATTTGAATTTAATACAGTACAGGCAGTGTAGTTGACTGGAATTTCTTCATTGGCATAATATAACTTCATTAAAGGTTTTTGAATAGTATGAAGATTAGTGCCATGTACTGTTATCATTCTTCCACCAGACACAAAACTTTTAAGTGGTTTTATTTCCATTATAGTAGGATCAGCAGTGTAGTTAAAAAGATCTCCATTAAGAGAGCGATTAGCATTATCTATAGAAACAGTCAATGTATGAATCACATGTGGAGCATTTGTCTTGGGAGTTATACAAATTAATCTACTATTGGATGTTTGTGTTTTGTTTACAGAACAAGATAAATCATCCAAATAAGCTGATACAGATGAACCAATATTTAAATGCTGTCCACCAATAGCTAATTGTGTTCCGCCTGACACAGGTCCTACAGCAGGATAGATGCCTTGTAATTTTATATTTTTGTAGCTGAACAAAACTGATGATTCTGTATATCCTGCATCATTTTCTACAATAACTGGAGCAACCATTGATCCATTGGAAGGGCCTGTTTTACAAGTGATACTGACTGATACCTCAAAATCAACTATATCACACAATACATCGCCAATGCGCACTTTTCCAGTGACCTCCTCTACTCTTAGGCCCAAGTTACTTCCTTCTATTGTTACAGTAGTGCCTCCTTCTATTGGGCCACTCAGAGGTTTTATCATGTCTATTCTGGGTTTAGGGCATTCAGTAACAGGAGTTTCTAGACAAGATTCACTATAGGAACAAGAATTACCACACCAAGTGCATTGATATATGGAATTTCGTGTGATACACAGTGAGCAATCAGCATGATCTCGGTGGGACCCCAGTATCTCACATTTGTACAATGTAATTGTTATTGTGTCAATATAATGTTTGTGATTCCATACAACTTTTACACTAACATTATATTCTCCCACATCTTCTTCATAAGAATATGTAGTTTTGTCACACACAATATAGTGATTTGACTCCACTCTAGCTGGGAGTATCATGTTAGCTAGTTCAATGCTTACTATGCATTGAAATCCTGTGTGGCCAGGCTGTAAATGAGGCAGGTTCTCCACCTCTAGTTCCAGTTCCTTGGGGACATTGTTAGGCAGTAAAATTGGCTTTTTATATTGCCTGATGCGTGGGCAATGGCCTATGCCATGATTCAGTAGTTTTGTAGGATTATTTTCCCCACTAATGATAGTTCTTTGACATACTGAAACATCATGGGTACACTTATTGTCATAAATACACCAGTTACATGCCCACTCACTTATAATGCAAGAATGACAAGTTGTATGCTTAGAGCAATCATAAAAAGCAAAATTTCGGGATACAAAATCTTTATTGGTCTCTGAGGAGTGAACTGAAAGGGGTACATAAATGTGGTCCTGATTTTGAGGTATTTTAGGTCGGTATTTTACATCTGGGGTAGGGCATGCTAGGCCATTGGAGGTAACTGCAGCATCAATGGGTTGTGCATTGCCAAACACACATTTATATTTTGCTCCAAAGGGTAATTCAGGTAAAGTTCTAATAATTAGCTGCACAGTAGTTTCTTCACTCATTGATATCCTATCAGGTAAAATTTGTTCAAAATCAATGCATTGCTGACCTGTGTATTGAGACAACCACCTGGGTGCACTCTGGGTACCTTTCTGACACATACTTTGAACTGTACACCGTTTTTCTAATGAACACCATCCACAATGAGGGTCATTGGATTCCAAACAAGAAGAACAATTACCATGTTCTGCACATCTTTCAGTAGGTATTTGTACAATTGTATTCTTTGCTAACACATACAAAGTTTTCTGATAGGGTGACAGAGTTGTATCAGGAAGTATCCTTTGTCCAGGTAGAAGTTCTTCACTAGAATATTCTAATGCCTTTTCTGCATCAATTAACACTTTCTTTAAAACACCATCACTTGTGCCTAGAAAAGCTACAGTATGTAATCCAGTTACAGACATAGTTACAGAAGTTACTAAAGTATTATTCCAGTGAATTACAGATATTGTTTTGATTGGATACAGACCACTAATTTTAAGACCCACTTCACAGAAATTAAGTATATTGCCAGTAGTGCCTACACTCGGACATTTGCCATCAGATATCATACCTGATATGTAACCCATATTGCGTGCCTTAGTACTACCATTAAAACACATATGAACATTTTCATTAAACTTAATTTCTATTTCTTGTAAGGAGAACACACATATAGCTGATTTAGCCATTGGCTCATTAGTGATACCTCTTGAAGGACTGAAAAGGGCAACTAATACAGAGTCACCTGTTTCAATACCCAATTGGTTGGCTAAATTGGAACCAGCCCTGGCTATCTTAGCATCTTGAACTAGATTATAATTGACAACTTCACTCTTACCACTCGAAGTTTCTTCACGCACATGGCACTCCAATGTCACCTCCGTATAACTGTTGTAGTTGTCATCATTAACGCAGGTGCGAGCCAGACGAGACACATACCCGAGCTCTTCATTGCCAGCAAGATGAGAGTGTTTTTGTATTATTAGGAAGTATGCATAATCACTGGCATTGAATCCATACACATACTGCACTAAAAAATTATCTCTGTACTTAACATCTATTTGTATCAAACTCTGTTTTGAGAAAGTGAACTGGGCCAGATCTAGTGTCATAAGATCTCGGCTGGATATGGCTGGAACATCATGTCTGTACTCTCCATTGTTGGTGAATGTTGTGCCTACATATAAAACATTAGCACGGTCCCAAGAGTTGTATCTCTCAGGCCCGATAAATGCGTATGTAGAGGCATCGGCATCGTTAGCTGCCACACTTACGGGCACGAACTCGGGTTCCGCCGACAGGTCTCCCAGTTTATACTTGAAACAGGATCCTTGGGCAACTGATCCACATCCTATCACAATTCTTGACTCTTGATCTATCACCAGGATTTTATTTACATTATCGATGTATGTTGTTTTTATTTCGGGCGAAGTGCAACCGCTAGCATGACACATAGGATTGTCAAGTTTTGGACCAGTTCGTATTACATGAATGGGTTTCAGGTCTGGGCTCAGTTGATGAAGCCAATTCAATGATCCAGCATAAACTTGACCACTTATTCTATCGACTGCAAGGTGGTAGAAATAGTATGTTTCATTCTGTTGACTGGGATATTGTGATATAAATTCGTATCCACACACTATTGTACTTTGAAGCCAGAATGTTATGACTAATAATGTTGTAAAAGCAGCCATGATCACATCGTAAGTTTCATTCGCAGGGATATTGTTCACTTTATCACAACCACACTAGTTTTTATTTCATTTTCAACCCATTTTTTGCTTACAAAAATAAAATGTAAATTGTAAAAGCTTCCATCGATGCCGATGACATGGGAATAAACAATAGAGTTTGATCAAACCATAGAGTAACATGTTGCTGCATGTTCTATGGTTTTTTTACTTTTTTTTATCCACAACGGGAAGCTCTTGGCCTAAATCTTGGCCTGTATATCTCACCCAGCGTTGCCAGTTTTTTTTTTCGCCAAGTCGGGACTTTGGTACTTTTTGAGTGAAAATAGCGGGATTCTTCCGTCAAAAGCGGGACATAGTAAAAAAACGTATAATAATCAAAGGTTTTCAAATATTTATCTTTTTATTTGACTTAAAATTACGTGTAGCGAAATGTCATCGTGTGGTTGGCAATACTGTTTTCGCTACCAACATGAAGACTCGCTAGGCAGGCGGCCGCCAGATGACACTTCGTACTATTAGACTCGCCCGCGAATTATAAATAATTGTGCAAGAAAAATGTACTGTGTTTAAGCTCATGAATAAACCACGTTATCAAACTTAGCGCGAGTTATATTTTCATAGAACCTCTACAGAAGTCACTGATACAAGATGTTTTATGGTGCCCACCAACCGGCACCAAATACGTTTACGTGACAATAGATAGCAAAAGTAGCCATAGAAAATGTATTTTTACAAAAAAATAATATTTTAAATCAGTACTACTAGCACGAAAATCTTTCGAGTTCAAATCGTTTGCGTACTCAAATCGCCATCAAAAGATTTAGTACGAAAACTACAACAGCACCCTTGTGGACGTGTCGTAAAGTGAACTTAGTGTAAGAAATGGTTGCACGAAACTTATTTTGAGAATCAAAATTGTCACGTTATCGTTTAATTCGAAGGTTGAGTATCGAACTTTATCGAATACGCAAACGATTCGAAGACGAAAGTTGTTCATGCTAGAGGTACAGATTTACTCTATCATTAAATTCGACTTTAGAATAAAAAAAGAAAAAATATCGAAATTAAAAAAGTTTTATTATTTACAATAATATGGCGTTTCAAACAATAGTCTGGTGAAGTGAGTGTTTCTCTCCGAAAAGCGGGACCGAGCCTGTCCCGCGCGGGACATTTAAATTTGATTAAAAAATCGGGACGTCCCGCCAAAATCGGGACGTCCGGCAACGCTGATCTCACCTGATGGTATAATAAGTGATGATCAGGCCGAAGGTGGAAGCGAGCTTCACCCGGAATCCTCAACCACGGAGGAACTGGCCATCTTACCTCTAACTGCCGGAACACAACAATGCTGTTAACATTGTTGTTATCGCGACAGACTTAATTAGGTAAGATGGTGGTAGCTAGCCAGGCGGACTTAGAACAAGCTCTACCACCAACCAAACCGAACAGAAAAATCTGCCCCCACTGGGAATCGAACCCGGGACCTCTGCGTCTGAAGCAGGTGTTCTTACCACGACCACAGATGCGGTTACATTTTAACGGACTTCATTTATTTTACATTCAGACGAAAAACGAAAATTTAATCCTAAAGGTAGACGCGCTCTTGGGCTTCGTCAGCTGCTCAGATGGATTATAACCATAGAGTTATTAACCATTGGTTAATAACTCTATGATTATAACAGACCAAACAAAGGTGGCAGCGAGTTCACCCGATTCCTCCACCACAGAGGAAATGATTGGTTTATTTATCGGCAGGAGGACTACCGAAACACAAAACTCATAATACTGTTGTTAAGATGGAGACATCACACTAGTTAAGTGGTAAACAGACTTAAAATACCCAGTCAACAACCAAACTGAGCAGAAACATTTTGCCCCCCTAGAAATCGAACCCGGAACCTCTGCGTCTGAAACAAGTGGTGCAAGTGGTCGTACCACTAGACCACAGAGGCGGTATATCTGAGGCTGGCGCTATTGAGAAAACATAATTTAAGCTGAAACAAACATTTTATGATTTTATCTAAAAAAAATGATAACATTTTAAAATAAAAGCAAACACTGCACTGATGTGAGAAATTATATTTTTTTTACTTAGGTTCTTTGTTATAGTTCCAAAATACTGGACTGTCCTGTCGATGACATTGACAGTGGGGCGCCACCGTCAATACCGGGTCGCTGGTTCAGATTTTTGCCATGTTGGAAACCATATAGTTGAACGATGGTAGCGCCCCCCTGTCATTGAGTTTGGCGGGACAGTTCAGCGTGGGTCATCTATACTGTGGCCGTACCATAATAAACCATAGACAAAGTGAGTGAGTGAAGTTTAGTGTAAGAGTGAAGTTTTATTTTTATGCTGATATCTCTTTTGTTCTTAAACATTCGTCTATCGCTGTCTTTGTCCTCGAGGATTGAAATTTCCATTCCGTGGTATTTTTGGTTTCATTTCATTCAATCATTCAATGTTTCTTGTCATTTGTGGTTTTGGTGATTTTTGGTGTTTGGAATATTCGGCAAACATTTATTTTTATTTCTTGTATTGATCGTGAGATTAGTGAAAATGAAAAGTATTTTCATTCATTGATAATTAATTTGCCATCTGGGAATATATTGTTTGTGATCTGAGAGTAGGCCACAAGCGAATGAGACAGACTATGTGCACGGTACTCAAAAATATCGCTTAAACATGTGCAGTGTCCGGTTATTGAGTGAATTTACTATTTTACTGTGATTGTGGTAGTACAAATTACTTTAAAATGATGGCCACGATGGCCGCCGGTGGCCCCGGCGATCCGCATACCCAAATGAACACCTACAGAAGCTATGTTACCATGTTAGCAGACCCTGGCGCTAAGGATGAAATCAAGCTCAAAGCAGCGCAGGAGCTTAGTGAAAATTTCGAGGTAAAATTCATAGAATTTTCTGATAATTAAACCATAATCTTGGTCAGAGGGTAGGGTTTAAAAAAAATCCCACGTTTTTTTCTATCTTCATATTAACTGCGTTTATGAAATTCTCTATAATCAATTTTTAATGTATTCTGTGGTAAAATCATTATCATCACAAAAACGTAAAGTACATAAATTCCGGACAGACTAAATTTCTGTAATACCCAGTATACCCACATTATACACAGCTTTATATTATAAAGCCTCAGTTTTTGTGATACCCACATTGTAAAGATGCACATAAACTATCAGTTTCTGCCTCTGGAATTGCAGTATCTTAAAATGTATGCCCATTGTTTAAGAACTTTATGCATTGACAAATTTATATTAAGTACTTTTCAATAATTACGCCATAACAATCAAAGTAGCTTAAGCCCACAGCTTCACCCTGCGCTGACTTTTTTATAATAGGTATTAAAATATTTAAAATGGTTTGTTTTAGGTCATACTAAGTTCACCGCAGTATCCACAATTCTTAGATCACTCATTGAAAATATTTCTTAAAATATTGCAAGAAGGAGAACCACATTTCATTGCTGAGTATAACATTCAGCAAGTCAGGAAACTTATCCTGGAAATGATCCATCGTTTACCAATAAGTGAGACTTTGCGACAGTATGTCAAAAGCATTCTCATACTGATGTTAAAATTGATGGAAATTGAAAATGAGGAAAATGTTCTTGTTTGTTTGAAAATTTTTATGGAGCTTCACAAACAATATCGTCCAGCTTACAGTGCCGATGTTGATGTAAGTTGTTTAAATTTTCAAGTATCAATTTAATCCTAAGCTGTAATTATTTTAAAGCATTTTTTAAAATATGATTTATTAATATTTTAGATCCACAAGTTTCTGCAATGGGTAAAAGGCATTTATTCAGATTTGCCTAATCATTTACCAAAAATATTTGAGCCAAAGCCTACTATACGAGTCAAAGATTTATCTGAAGTCAACATTGAACAACTACTTCAAGAGACTTATACTACGACTCCTATACACACTGAAAAGAAATTATTAGATGGAAGTGTTGTAACTGTAAGTATACTGGAGTGAAATAACTATACATTTATTCCCTGCTTCATAAAAATGGTATTAAGTAAAAAGATTTGCTTAATAGTTGAGATTTTTTTTAAAACTGACTCATTTTTTTCAGTACAACCTAATTCCACGATCTGTATTGTCACTAAAAGTGATTCAAGAGCTTCCGATAATAGTGGTACTAATGTATCAGTTGTATAAGCAGAATGTGCATCAAGAAGTCAGCAACTTTATTCCTCTCATTATGGAAACTATAACTTTACAGCCAGCTGTCACACATAGGTAAACATGATGACATTATGATAATCTTGATACATATTCAATAATATTATTGTAATTTACTTCTTTATTAATGTGTTTTAGACAATCTGCATCATTCAACAAAGAGGTATTTGTGGATTTTATGGGGGCACAAATAAAAACGTTAGCATTTCTAGCTTACATCATCAGAATATACCAGGAGACTATAGCAAATCATGCTAATCTGATGGTGAAGGGTATTATTGGCTTATTGACTCTATGTCCACCAGAAGTGGCACATTTAAGGAAGGAGCTTGTTATAGCAACAAGACACATTCTCGCGACAGACTTGAGGCTAAGTATGTTCCAAGTTCTTACTTTCCACTTTGTAACAAAAGACTAGAGGTAAAATAAGTCAATGTCATCACTTTTTTCTTGCAGAGTTTGTGCCTTACATGGAACGTTTATTTGACGAAGAGGTATTGTTGGGCGGTGGATGGACAGTACACGAGTCGCTTCGCCCACTGGCATATTCAACATTGGCAGACTTAGTTCACCATGTTCGACAACACTTACCACTGACGGATCTTGCTATTGCTGCTCATTTGTTCTCCAAAAATGTGCATGATGAATCTCTGCCTACGAGGTTTGTCACATTATTTATTACAGCAAAACAAAATATTTTATGTGGTATATTCTGTGTGCTTGGGACTACATTGACTTATGTATTAATGTGTTTTGTTATTTCAGCATCCAAACAATGTCCTGTAAACTATTGCTGAATCTGGTGGATTGCATTCGGCAACGCTCGGAAAGCGAGGGTGCCGCGGCTGGCGCACAGCCTCAAGGCCGACAACTGCTAATGCGCATTTTAGAAGTGTTTGTTTTGAAGTTCAAGACCATTTCTAAACTTCAACTGCCTGCGCTAATGACCAAGTGGTAAGTATTACGTGTTTCAAGCTATAAAAAAATAGGAATGTATACTCTTGCTCTAAATGGGTCTAGATTGTGTCAATGACTTGTATTTATATGTATAATAAGTAGGTTCTTATACTAGCCATATTCCTCACAGCAGCCACAGCCAGCCGTCTTCACCGGCTATCGCCAGTGCCAACGGAACGACTCCTAGCACTCCGACAACGCCGGCGCCTTCCACGCCCGGTGTAGAGACCAAGTCAGAGGAAGAGAAGCCCGGTCCAGACTTCCTGGACAGCATAACCAAGGCGGAGGAGAAGTCCAAGATTGGATTCCCTTCGTCTCAAATGAGCAACCTGAACGTGGGCGATTATAGGACACTTGTGAAGACGCTCGTTTGTGGAGTGAAGACTATTACTTGGGGTTGCGCATCATGCAAAGTAAGTGTTCATAATTTTGGAATAGGTTACACATTGCAGGAATTAGTCTAGCTGTTTTAGTGGGGTCTAGAATAACGTAAAAATCCCCCCGCAATCAACTGACGTACTTTTTATGAGCAGTCGAAAATCGATTCTACAATTCCAGCAGATAAGAGAAGATAAGAGAATAGAAGCAGAACGTCACTATTTTTCAGAATATATTTAACTCAATAGAAGTACCTAACTTAACTGTTTAAATTCAAATTGTTGATAATGTAATTTCTAATTAATTTTCCACCAGCAAACTACCACCACAAGTGAGGGCACGACAACGACGACTATCACCGGGCAGAAGCAATTCAGTGCGCGCGAGACGCTAGTGTTCATTCGACTCGTACGCTGGGGGCTGCAGTCTTTGGATATCTATACACTAGCCGCTCCCCGCGCGCCCGTTCAGCCGCCCGCCCAACCACACGTGCGTTCTAAGGAAGAGAAGGAGGTGTTGGAGCACTTTAGTGGAGTTGTGAGTACTTGTTATAACTTTGAGATGCTAGTGTTCATTCGACTCGTACGCTGGGGGCTGCAGTCTTTGGATATCTATACACTAGCCGCTCCCCGCGCGCCCGTTCAGCCGCCTGCCCAACCACACGTGCGCTCTAAAGAAGAGAAGGAGGTGTTGGAGCACTTTAGTGGAGTTGTATGTATCTGCTTTTAATTTTGTACTCTATGGTTATGTGCAGAAAGTACAAATTGTTTTACAGATTAAATTTTTTGTGATGGACTTTTAATTTTATTTATCTTTTTTGACGCATGCGTGCAGATGCTTAGCGTCTTGCCGCACAGATTGGGAAACAGTGACATCAACCTGATCGTTTAAATTCGTTCCCCTTAAATCGACAGTCTGCTTATTTTCTCATTGAAAATAAAGTTGTTATCCACACATCGTTAACTTTATTACTCTCTTTTCCAGTTTTCCATGATGAATCCTCAGACGTTCCAAGAAATATTCACAGCTACGATATCCCATATGGTGGAACGAATCAATAAGAACATGACCTTACAAATCATTGCAAATACGTTTTTATCAAACCCAGCTACTTCTCCAATATTCGCTACGGTTTTAGTGGAGTACCTTTTGAAACGAATGGAAGAAATGGGCACAAATGTTGAGAGATCCAATTTGTATTTGAGGCTATTCAAATTGGTGTTTGGTTCAGTGAGTCTGTTTCCAACTGAAAATGAGCAAATGCTGCGCCCGCATTTACACAGCATTGTAAATAAAGCAATGGATTATGCGATGACCGCTAAAGAGCCTTACAACTATTTCCTGCTTCTTAGAGCTCTGTTTCGCTCAATCGGCGGAGGCAGTCATGACTTACTCTATCAAGAATTTTTGCCATTACTACCAAACCTTTTAGAGGGTTTGAACAGACTTCAGAGTGGCCTTCACAAACAACACATGAAAGATTTATTTGTCGAGTTGTGTTTGACAGTACCCGTAAGACTGAGCAGTCTATTGCCTTATTTACCGATGTTGATGGACCCCTTAGTATCAGCTTTGAATGGCTCACACACTTTAATTTCTCAAGGCCTCCGTACACTCGAACTTTGTGTGGACAACTTGCAGCCTGACTTTTTGTATGAACACATTCAGCCTGTTCGAGCTGATCTGATGCAAGCTCTTTGGAGAACTCTACAAAACAATGAAGTGGCAAGGATCGCCTTTAGAGTTCTAGGAAAGTTCGGTGGTGGCAATCGCAAGATGATGATTGAGCCACAGAGTTTGGAATATCGAGAAACTGACGCGCCGCCTCCTGCGGTACAGGCCTATTTCCAAGACCAGCCCAAACCTTTAGATTTCGAAGTAGACAAAGTTATAGACACGGCATTCTCTGCGTTAAAGTCTAGCACAACTGACCCGTTTTATAGACGTCAGTGTTGGGAGGTTCTTCGGTGCTACTTAGCTTCTTCGCTCAATTTAGACGATGACAGACCGACGCTAATGAAGCTGTTCAATCATCCGAGCTTCGTTGAAGGCAAAATTCATGTGCAAAACGGGCCCTACTACAAATGTAGCAACAATATTGTGCGAAACACTCATCGCACCGCTTTGACTGGGATGTTTGTGGCCGCGGCAATCAAAGAGTTGCGGCATCACGTGCTGCCCACTATGGTGTCATTAGTGCGCCATTACACAATGGTAGCTATAGCCCAAGAAGCCGGGCCGTTCGCCGGCACCGGCGGGCCTAAGGAGGGGCTGGATGCGTTGGTCCTCGTGGACGCTATCGCTGTTGTGATGGGGCACGAAGAGAAGGAGCTGTGTAAACCGGGTCACCTCGCGCTCGTGTTAATGATAGAGACAGCAGCTACAGTGCTGGGCAGCAAAGAGCGGGCGTGTCGCTTACCGCTCATGGAGTATTTGGCCGAACGCATGTCCGCCCTCTGTTACGAGCGAGCCTGGTACGCTAAGCTGGGCGGATGTATCGCCGTCAAATTCATGGTCGAGAAGATGGCGCCCGAATGGGTGTACAAACACATATTTACGTTTTTGAAAGCCGTCCTGTTCGTGATGATGGACTTGACGGGTGAAGTGTCTTCAGGTGCTATTGATATGGCTACTGTGAACCTGGAGCGGTTGGTTCGCGTGTGCGTGACGGGTCCTGCGGTGGTGTCCTCGGAACCCTCGGAAGGCGAAGTGGCCGCTGCGAAGGCTCGGGCATTGCACGATGTGCTACAAGAACTTGTCCTCCAAGTCACTAGTCCACATCTACTTGTTAGACAACAGGTAATAAGATTACATGGTTTTAATGGTTTTTTTTTACAGTTTTAAATTATGTGTATTTTAATATTACCCTTTATTTAATAGGCCATGAAATCCCTGGAATTAATAGCCGAACTCCAAAATAAGACAGTTACAGAGGTAATGGATCCTCACAGGGAAGTTCTAGCTGATATCATTCCGCCTAAAAAACATTTACTACGACATCAACCAGCTAACGCCCAAATGGGCTTGATGGATGGAACTACATTCTGTACAACTCTAAAACCAAGGCTGTTTACGATTGGTAATATTTTTTATTTATGTAAATAATAAATCAATGTCTCTTAGAGTTTGGTTTTTAATGTATGTGTTATTTCAGATTTGAACATCAACGAGCACAAAGTATTTTTCCGCGAGTTGCTCTCATTGTGTGAGGCCGAAGACGCCATGCTAGGCAAGCTGCCGTGCTATAAGGGCGTTAACTTGGTACCGCTTAGAGCGTCGGCCCTTAAAGCTCTGGCAGCCTGTCACTATATTCAAGAGAAGCACTGCAGGGAAAAGATATTCCAAGTGCTGTACAAATCACTCGAAAAGAATGACCAAGAATTACAACAAGTAAGTTAACTAATGGGCTATTTAATCGCTAATTAAATATTGATTGACTCCTAATGGTTGTAGATGTAACAAAGAGTATTATGTTTATTTGAGTGAGCAATTCAAGTTTGCTTAACCAAATGTATTAGATAAGTGGTGTTGATAATTGAATGACGTCACATATTACATTTCTTTGTTTTGTTTTAGGCCGGTTTCGAATGTATGCAAAAGTTCCTATCCGGATTCCAAATTGACATGGAAATGGTCCATCCTGTTATGAGACCGTTGCTACTGACGCTTGGTGACCATCGCAACCTGAGCGTAAATGGCGCCAAGAGACTTTCGTACTTAACGCAGCTGTTTCCGTCTACGTTCAGCGAAAAATTGTGTGAACAGCTGTTGCAATTGCTCAAAAAATTACTCGATTACTCCATACAAACTAACCGAGGTGGGTGCCTTATGTGGTACAGTCACGAGCACAAAAACACGTTATAACGATGTGATAAGGATCAAATTACAATGAAAATGTATCTTTCAGGGGGCAACTTCCTTCAGAGTGTTTCGAAAAACATGGAGAACGAACAGAAGATCATAATTCTGATCGGCATATTCCACCAGATACCGGCGGCGTCTCCGCGCTTCATCGATGTTCTTTGTCGGTTAATCTTCCATACTGAGAAGTCACTGATGATCGAAGCTGGCTCACCGTTCAGGGAGCCGCTCGTCAAATTCCTCCTAAGGTCAGCAATTCGATATTTAGTTAATACTGATGTGTTATAGGGTATTTTCATCCATGTTAATGACATGCTTTTAGCTGTCAAAACGCGATTCCCCAAAAGATTTTGTATGGTAAAGTGAAGCTTCATGTCGTCACTTTTTTGTCAACTCACTGAATTATCTGTCATCAGTTGGCGCCACTGTAGAGTAAGATTCTGTCACTCGCCAGTAGCGCCAATAAGTTAGTGCAAAAAATAATATGAGTCTTCATCGACTATTAATTTATTGTTTACAAAGTCACCAAAAATCTTATTTTCTAATTGAAAGCTAATTTGTGCTCTTTAACAGAGTAAATACAAATGAGTAGGTTATCTTCATAGAAACGCACCGAGCGCGGTTTGTATGTGAGCGCGCCAATACGTATGCGGCGCGCACGCACACACTGACAACATTTAGCGTGGATTAGCGGGGAGTTGCGCCGAATTTTGTCAGTGTTAGCGCGCTCGGTGCGTTTCTATGAAGATAACCTACTCATTTCTATTTACTCTTGTCTTTAATCTACCAACTTATATTCTAGTTTGTTGCACTCTAGCGTATTTTCTGCATCCTTTCTGCTGATCTAACCCTAGCCATCTCTTCTCAGATACCCAAAGGAGACGCTAGACCTGATCCTAAGCGACAACAACATCAAGGACCAGCAGTGGAGCCGCTTCCTCGTGTTCCTGGTGAAACATGCCGACGCCGGCGCCGCGTACCGGGAAGCGCTGCAGACTGCCAAGAAGCCGCGGCTGATGCAGCTGCTAGCTGCTAACAGGTATGTACTCTATCCTGGTAGTCTATGGTAGCTTATAAGGTCATAAAACACTTAGGTACCCATAGAGACACTAGACTTGAGTCTTGATCCTAAGTGATGTACTTTTATACTCATAGCTAGTGATAGCCTAACTAACGTATGATAGTAGATTTTTCTCAAATTCTTTGAAAGGCAATTTAACTAGCTAGGTACCCATTTAGCATTATATTATGGATATGGCGAAGCGAGATGTCCAGAACACAGATCTAAATTGGAGAAAACAGTTCTCAGATGCTGCACTGCAAGTTATAGGTTTCCCTAAGTATTCTTCTTCTTTTAACAATGCCAGACGTCTATGGCGGCTCATGAAGTCTCACTCCAAAGTTGTACACATATACGATAGAAAAAGGCTTTTCTCGTGGGATTATTCCTAGAACACTTGTAACAAAAGAAAATTTTTCAGAATTACACAGCGTCGATAAAAAACTAGACATCAAAATATATAAATATTGGCAAACATAATTAAACTGTAACCCCAATATGTAATATGTATACTAGGGTGGTCCTTATTCCTACGAAAAAAAATTTTTTTCTTATATTTTGCGGGGCACCACGTAATTTGAATATATACCATATGAAAGTCTTTCGTTTTTTTTTTTTAATATTTAAAAGACATTTAGGGGTCGCTACCAAGGTTTGAATTTTAAGTAAAAACACAAAATCTGTATTTGTTAGATTCATTTATTTTTAGCCAAAGCCAAATAAATATATTACAAAATTATTGTTGTTGCTATGAACTAAGATATTATGTACAATGTACATATTTGAATCAATTATTTTTAAGATATAAGAGTTGACTTGTTAGTATCTCGACGCGTCGGTACCATGGTCGGTACAGAAGAGGGGTTGAGGGGAGAAGGGGACAAGAAGCGATTGTCTATTCTATCTATGCGATGTTCAATTGCACGTAAAATGTGATATAAACACTTAAATAAAACATTTATGAAACCATGATTTTTGATCTTCAAAGCTTTTTGTAAATATTTTGACAGCTGGTAGCGACCTCTAAATCTTAACCAAAAAAAAAAAAACAAAAAAGCTAATTTCATATTTAGAGGTATATAATCGAATGAAAAAGTGCCCCGGGGATAATTCAAAAGTCGAAAAATAAGGACCACCCTAATGTATACTATGAATGTCCTAAATGTGTATTGCTGTTGGTGTACCTTTATTAATAAATGAATAAAATGTGTGTAATATTTGAATTCCCAACAGTGGCGCAGCGCCCACGCTGCCGCAGGCCGATCGCGCCGAAATGCAGTTCCAGGCGATCAGAGTGGTATCGCTGCTGATCAAGTACGACGAGCAATGGCTGTCCACGCAGCACGACTTGATCGAGCTCATCAAACGGATATGGTGCAGCGATCAGTATCATGTGAGTGTTTGATAAGAAAGCAGACTGGTATCCCTTCGCAGGTGGCGATCAAGCGCCCTTTGTGCTCAGGGGGCGTAGTGTGAGTTTACGTCAAAGGCATTCGATATCGACTGCGTAAAAAAGTGACATTAAATGTATGACGGATTGTACAGCGTCCCTAGCGGAAACTTTTAAGAACTAAAATCTTCATATTTTTTTTAACGCAGTCGATATCGAACGCGTTCGACGTAAACTCACACTACGCCCCCAGAACTTTTTCCACTTAGTTAATTAAACTGTGAGCACAGGTAATAAAACCACGATCTCAAAAGTGCCAAAAAAAAAATTTCGTTACCTACTTCCTAAAAAACAGAAAATTTTCGCTTACTGCTACGAAATAATCTTTAGCCGTGTTCTGGAAAAATTTTGAACCACCGCATTCTTCCCGCGAATGTCCGTAACATGTAAATAAAGGATAAAAGAGAAATATACGAAAATCAAGCCTCCCCAACCTGTCTGGCTAGAATGGCCAGATTGGGGAGTGGCCAAATCCTCCCTTTTGCCTTTAATTTAGATAGGGACGTACTCCTGCAGTGGAGACTAAATGCCGTACTGACGATGGTGTATAATCTCATATGTTCATAATGTTTTTTTTGCAGGAGGTACATAAGAAAGTCGAAAACGTAGACTGCACGCACTGGAAGGAACCTAAACTAATAGTGAAGATATTACTCCACTACTTCTGCCACCATCCATCTAGCATCGATTTGTTGTTCCAATTGCTGCGAGCTTTGTGTGACCGGTTCATTCCAGACTTCCAGGTAAAATAACGCTCAATTTTATCTACATTTTTAATAAGTATGTGTAGAATTAATTTTAATAAGAATTTTCTTTTGTAGTTTTTGCGTGACTTCCTGGAAAACACCGTGGCCCAAAATTACACTGTAGAATGGAAACGTACGGCGTTCTTCCGCTTCGTGGAGCATTTCTCGAGTGATGCCATGTCGCAGGATCTGAAAGCGAAGGTGCTGCAGATGATTCTCATCCCGTGTTTCGCGGTGAGCTTTGAGAAGGGCCAGAAGATAGTGGGCGGCCCGCCGGCCCCGTATCAGGACAACCCTGACAACGTAGTCTCCGTGTTTATAAACAATGTAAGTAATTTAATAGAAACTGTTCCTTCATGACAGATCTGAAAATAACAGCTTTTAGAATGACAAATCCCTAAAGTCCGCCACAAACGGACGCTTGAAGCAGCTAGTATCGATAGCTTCAAGCTGCGACTGCGTACATTCTACAGTAACTACAGTATTCTATGTACACACACACGCACCGGCTCGAGCAGTTCTGACTGCTTCGGGCGATACGGTTAAATTTAATCGTGACTATGACTGCAAGTGCGGTCCATGTATGTTGATCAAAAGCCAACTCCTCGAGCCGTGTATATCGGGCCTAAAGCTATTTTCTTTTATTTTGGATTTTTTCCTGTCTTTCACTTGAAGCAAGAGTCAAGACGCTTCATTTGACAAGATCGATAGATGGTCTATATTTATGTATCTTTCATTTTACAGGTGATAGACCCAGAAAACCCGTTCGCATGCTCGGACGCGGTCCGCATATCCCTCCTGCAGTTTGCCTGCTTATTGCTGGAGCAAGCGTCGGCGCACATCCACGACGCCAACAACAAGAAGCAAGGCAACAAGCTGAGGCGCCTCATGACATTCGCGTGGCCGTGTCTGCTCGGGAAGAACTACGTTGATCCTGCTACTAGGTAACGTATACGATTTTGAGCTTTAATCGCGTACCATTATGATTAAAAATACAATTAGTTATGTTTGAGTTCTTTTTCTCTCAGTTTTAATACAAGTTATGAGGTCGGTCACTAGATCATGGATGTGACTGCTAAGATATAACGTACGGCGGCTCATAATAATGAAGTGTTTTAAAAAAATTTTTCTCTTTCAGGTATCACGGACACTTACTGCTAAGTCACATAATCGCCAAATTCGCTATACACAAGCGGATCGTTTTACAAGGTTAGTGTTTACCACATGACATGTACTATAAATTGGTCGGTACCTGCGGCAGTATAGCGGCTCGGAAGAGATATGATGTAACAGAGCGTGCAAAAGCACATCCTGAAGAATCGCTGACGTTTTCATGTAACGAGATCACCCTCCCGCACCGCTCCACTACTGCAGGAACTGACTCGGCTATGCTCTATGTAGCTTCAATTGTTTATTCTATATTATTTCGACTAATCGTACTAATAAAAAATCTTTTCGGCCAGTATTCCACAGTCTATTGAAGGCGCACGCTGTGGAAGCGCGCTCTGTGGTGCGGCAGGCGCTAGAGATCCTCACGCCAGCCATGCCACAGCGAATGGAGGACGGCAACACCATGCTCACGCACTGGACCAAGAAGATCATCGTCGAGGACGGCCACTCCGTCCAGCAGCTGTTCCATATCCTGCAGCTGGTCGTGCGACACTACAAGGTCAGTCCGCGTCTCCCATGAAACCTTCTGGATCACACGACGTCCTCACGCCGCCATGCCACAGCGAATGGAGGACGGCAACACCATGCTCACGCACTGGACCAAGAAGATCATCGTCGAGGACGGCCACTCCGTCCAGCAGCTGTTCCACATCCTGCAGCTGGTCGTGCGACACTACAAGGTCAGTTAAATAATCCGTCCCAATCAACATTTAGGGCCTTGGGCACGCCGCGGTCGGCAAAATGCCGCGGTGCCGCGGCGTCACCGCCGTGGACACGCGGCGTATTGCGTCGCGCCGCTGCTCCGCTCAAAAAACGCTTGCAATCCGCCAGCGTGGCAAGGTCCTTAGTCTATTTACATAATGAAACTGGAAGCTGGCCATGTAGTTGCGAATGTAGACGTCAACTAGTGCAAGGCATTAGTTTTATTTCGATGTTCATCAATAATTCCCGTTTTATCTAATTTGCACCTATCACACGCATTAGGTGTGTTGAGTTGCTGCTGATTTGAAGATATCGTAGCTTTATTGAGGAAACGTTATGTTAACACAATAAGCAAAGAGGACCGTCGTTGACAGCCGAAGGATAGATTCACTTCAGAATTTCCTCAGCACAGTGGATAGCGACACCATACTACTTATTTTACATTTTTATTTATGGACGACGTTATCTACCGGCGTTTGCCTCCTGTCCCGTAAAAAAAAGTTTTTATACGTGGTATATTTGAATGCCTATGAATGAGTTTAAAAATTATCAAATGTACTTGCTATTGGTATATTTTATACGTCGTTTATTTCAATCTGACAGGTTTACTACCCAGTGCGTCACGCACTCGTGGGCCATATGGTGGCCGCGATGCAACGCCTGGGCTTCTCGGCCACAGCGTCGCTGGAGCACCGACGACTGGCGGTGGACTTAGCCGAGGTTGCGCTCAAGTGGGAGCTACAACGCGTCCGCGATCACACGCACACAGACACCGTGGTATGTAACTATTGTAAATAAGGTCTAATAACTTGTAATGTTTTTTCAAATTGTGATTTTTTAAATCTGTATTTGTTAACTGCTTAAATGTTTTTCTATATGTCCCTGAATGTAGTTTTTAATGGCTATCCCTTATTATTTGGTACTAACGAAAGCAAATCAAAGTGGTGATTGCGGCTAAATGTCTGCTTTGTTCTGCATTAAAAAAAAACTACTAAAGCCTGATTTCTACTAAAGCCTGGTCCGTGAGCACGTAGAATTTTGCACAGTCGCAACAGCAATATAATTGCGCGCGAGCGATACGGATGGGTGTAGCTTGGGGTCATTGGACAAAATTCTACGTGCTCACGGACCAGGCTTTAGACTAATACAATATGACCAAGAATACCCAGATACATTTTTGATATTTTTATGAATTATCGATGTCTTATTTGAATGACTAGTTAACCAAAATACATTTATTCATAGGTGGCGACATCCCCCGGTGGCAGCATGAAACGCATATCGGGTGAGGACAGCGGTCTGGAGGCGCGAAAGGCTCTCAACACGGGCTGGGCAAGCCCGCAAGCGAGCGTGTCGCGCCTCGAGCCCGACGCGGCCAAGCCTCTTGACAAACAGCACGTGGATGTAGTTGTGAACCTGCTGCTGCGGCTGGCGTGCCAGGTACGTCCCAGCGGGCCTCAGCCGGCACAGGAGCCGGGAAATTCACAAGTGAGCGTGCGTATGAGTGGAGTCTGAATCCAGTTTTGCTCGGGTCGAGCTATGTTTTGAAATGTAGGGTTACATATTATGCGGGGTACTGGATCTAATCATGCTGATGTAATCATTGAAATGAATTTCCGATAACTTTTTTCGGCGATTCAATGATAATAGTTATAGTTGCCACCATTACCCACCAGTCTATTGACTTGCTTTTTAGGACTGTCGCGTTTCTCCTATTGTTTTTTTAGGACAAAGAAGCTATGACCACCAACTCAATGATTAACTGTTTATTGATTTGAAAGCCATTAAAAGTATCAATTAATTAATCTTAATGAGATACATTTTGACATATCTGTCAATGTCATGTCAAAAATAACCAATCATGCAGCATTTGGACCTCGCGTCTACGTATTGCCATCTGGGGGATTTTTCAATCGCGAAAACCCTCATTACTCGAAAACTAAGTTGAGCTTTACGGCTACAATTTTGTCTTCTCAAAATTGTGGTTGTTATACTCCATTTCATCAGTCTGACATTAGGGATACCTTAGAGACTAGCTTAGTACTATAAAAGCGTTTGCTGCAGTTGTTAATTATTTTATTCTAATTTCGAGCAGGTGAACGAAGGCAACGTGGGCGCGGCCGGTGCCGCGGCGGGGGCGGCGGCGCTCGGCGCGGCCGGCTCGCCCGGGGAGCAGCTGTCGCGGCGCTGCGTCATGCTGCTCAAGGCCGCGCTCAAGCCCGACGTGTGGCCGCACCACTGCGAGCCCAAGCTGGCCTGGCTGGACAAGGTATGACGTCACTGCGATCAGGCGAGCTAGATTATTGTAGTCGAACGATTCTGGAACGTCAAACTCTCGCGGCGCTGAGTCATGCTGCTCAAAGCCGCGCTCAAGCCCGACGTGTGGCCGCACCACTGCGAGCCCAAGCTGGCCTGGCTGGATAAGGTATGACGTCACTGCGATCAGGCGAGCTAAAGCCCGGTCTGTGAGCACGTAGAATTTTGTCCAATGACCCCTAGCTACCCATCCTTATCGCTCGCGCGTAATTATATTGCTGTCGCGACTGTGCGACTGGCACCCGCAGTGAGTGTGCGAGCGCGATAGCAACATAATTACGCGCGAGCGATAAGGATGGGTAGCTTGGAGTCATTGGACAAAATTATACGTGCTCACAGACCAGACTATAGATTATTATAGTCAAACAATTCTGGAACGTCAAAGCTGTCGCGGCGCTGCGTCATGCTGCTCAAGGCCGCGCTCAAGCCCGACGTGTGGCCGCACCACTGCGAGCCCAAGCTGGCCTGGCTGGATAAGGTATGACGTCACAGCGATCAGGCGAGCTAAAGCCCGGTCTGTGAGCACGTAGAATTTTGTCCAATGACCCCTAGCTACCCATCCTTATCGCTCGCGCGTAATTATATTGCTGTGGCGACTGTGCGACTGGCACCCGCAGTGAGTGTGCGAGCGCGATAGCAACATAATTACGCGCGAGCGGGATGGGTAGCTTGGGGTCATTGGACAAAATTCTACGTGCTCACAGACCAGACTATAGATTATTATAGTCAAACGATTCTGGAACGTCAAAGCTGTCGCGGCGCTGCGTCATGCTGCTCAAGGCTGCGCTCAAGCCCGACGTGTGGCCGCACCACTGCGAGCCCAAGCTGGCCAGGCTGGACAGGGTATGACGTCACTGCGATCAGGCGAGCTAAAGCCCGGTCTGTGAGCACGTAGAATTTTGTCCAATGACCCCTAGCTACCCACCCTTATCGCTCGCGCGTAATTATATTGCTGTCGCGAATGTGCGACGGGCGCCCGCAGTGAGTGTGCGAACGCAACAGCAACATAATTATCCGCGAGCGATAAGGATAGGTAGCTTGGGGTCATTGGACAAAATTATACGTGCTCACAGACCAGACTATAGATTAATATAGTCAAACAATTCTGAAACGTCAAAGCAGTCGCGGCGCTGCGTCATGCTGCTCAAGGCCGCGCCCAAGCCCGACGTGTGGCCGCACCACTGCGAGCCCAAACTGGCCTGGCTGGACAAGGTATGACGTCACTGCGATCAGGCGAGCTAGATTATTATTGTCAAACGATTCTGGAACGTCAAAGCTGTCGCGGCGCTGCGTTATGCTGCTCAAGGCCCCGCACAAATCTGACGTGTGGCCGCACCACTGCGAGCCCAAGCTGGCCTGGTTGGACAAGGTATTACGTCACAGTGATCAGGCGAGCTAGATTATTATAGTCAAACGATTCTGGAACGTCAAAGCTGTCGAAGCGCTGCGTCATGCTGCTCAAGGCCGCGCTCAAGCCCGACGTGTGGCCGCACCACTGCGAGCCCAAGCTGGCCTGGCTGGACAAGGTATGACGTCACAGCGATCAGGCGAGCTAGATTATTATAGTCAAACGATTCGGAAACGTCATGTGGCCAGTAATGATAATAGTGCCCTACTGTAAATGTTCCAACGCACGCCGTGATAAAATCTTATCGATGATTTTAGTCGACAAAATGAATGGACTTAACGCTTAAAATCGATAAAATGGCACGATAGAAGCTTATAGCGGCGCGCATCCTAGGCCTGCTGAACCGTTTTTATAGTATGTATTTAAAAAAAAAATCTTTCCACAGGTGTTCTCAACGGCCGAAAGCAACGCAGCAGCTTGCGCGAACGCGTGTACTGCTCTCGAACTACTCGCCTTCTTACTGGGAGTATTGCGGCGCGAGCAGATACTAGCAGCATTGAAGCCGCTGCAACGCGGTCTTGCGGCTTGCGTGTCGTCTGCCAACGCCAAGATCGTGCGTCTCACGCATAACCTGCTGGCCAAGCTTACCTCGCTGTTCCCCACGGAGCCTTCCGGAGCTGCGCAGGCCTCCAAGGTAAGGGCCTAAACCTTGGGAAGTCATTTCGGCGAAGTTATAGAATAGAGACTGTATTGCCTTCTTGCTTGATATACTACCATCTTACCCAAGTCTTTCGCCATAACAACAATGTTAACAGCATTGTTGTGTTCCGGCAGTTAGAGGTAAGATAGCCAGTTCCTCCGTGGTTGAGGATTTCGGGTGAAGCTCGCTTCCACCTTCAGCCTGATCATCATTTACCATCAGGTGTGATACAGGCCAAGAGCTTCCTCGTTGTGGATAAAAAAACGGACGAGAGCAGGTTGTTGACCTGTTACGAAGCAGCTGCTACGAGCCTACCTGCATTGCGTATTTAGGCAATGCTCTTGAAGTGCTGAAAAAGGCAATTTCTTTTTCTTCTTTCTAAAAATTCTTTAGTGCAGAATCGTTATGTTACCACTATCCTGAAGATAGGTTATCTTTTAGAAGAAAACTATGCTATTTTTAACAGGTCCGTTTCGTCAGGATAGCTTTGTTTTCACCGTTTATTGTTTAGTTCACCCAAAACAATTTACGAGCCAATCTGAGAATACACCCCCATTTGTTCCAGTACGAAGAATTAGAGACGCTATACGCGTGCGTCAGCAAGTACGCGTTCGAAGGCCTCGCAACTTACGAGAAGTCTGCCGCCGGCGGCGGCGCCGGCGCTCTGCTGGGGCCGCTCATGATGCTCAAGGCGTGCTGCTCCTCCAACCCTGCCTACATCGACCGCTTACTACTGCCTCTTATGAGAGTCCTACAGCGGATGGCTCGGGACCATGTCGCGCCTAATCCAGATACGGCTACGTCGGATTTACTGGTAAGTGTTCTGAATTTGAATTCCACACGCTTGTTTTAACATAATGTTGAGGGCGTGCTACTCCTCCAACCCTGCCTACATCGACCGCTTGTTATTGCCTCTTATGAGAGTTCTACAGCGGATGGCTCGGGACCATGCCGCGCCTAATCCAGATACGGCTACGTCGGATTTACTGGTAAGTGTTCTGAATTTGAATTTCCACACGCCTGTTTAAACATGATGCTGAAGGCGCGCTGCTCCTCCAACCCTGCCTACATCGACCGCTTGTTACTGCCTCTTATGAGAGTTCTACAGCGGATGGCTCGGGACCATGTCGCGCCTAATCCAGATACGGCTACATCGGGATTACATAAGGGTTCCAGAGATTCCACGCGTCTGTCGTAAATTTCCTCGTACGCTGACGTTAACATTGGTTCATGCACTTGACCAACTTTTTAAAATTATTGTGTGTGTGTACTGTTTTGTGTAATTTAGTATATTTATTTTCTAGATACTGGCGTTAGATCTGCTAAAAGCGCGCGTGTGTATCATGCCTACTGACACCAGAAAAACATTCATTGGTGCTGTACTCGTGGGGCTTATTGAAAAAACTACCGATGCGAAGGTACGTATTTCTTACATTTCTGTTTTTATGTTACACATGGTTATATTATACTTCAATGCAATGCAAAAAAAATATCTTACGTTCTTCAACAATCAATTTTCTTCAAGGTGATGAAAGCAATCACGCGCATGGTAGAAGAATGGGTAAAGAAATACAACCACATGACAATGACGAGCGCGGCGGCGGCGGCCGGGCAGGCGGGCCCTACTCTGCGCGAGAAGTCCATACTTCTCGTGAAACTCATGCAGTATGTAGAGAAACGCTTCCCCGATGATTTAGAGCTGAACGCACATTTCTTGGATATCATCAATCACGTATACAGGTATGTATAGAGAAGGGTTCTTATAAAGATAAGTAACTTATATTTGGTTGATCTTCACTTGATTTATGAGTCTTGTAAGTTGTACGGACAAAAAATTTCACGCGGCATGAGTGGTATCATAGCTTGCTCCATAACATTATTTGCAAATGCTCTGTGTAGCAAGATTGAGATTAGTTTGACATCTTTAGCAAGATTTGACCACGTTTTGACATTTTGCCAAGTAGTCTACTTCTATGAACTACCAGTTGGTTTCTTTCTTCCAATTTTATTACACTAATAAAAGTATTAAACAGTTTTTGCGACTAACTTTTTAGACAACTCTGTTTTTTTTAAATAAATAATTTTATTTGATATTTACCCCCTTACTAATAAAAAATCATAACCCTCCTTTTGCTTTGCCGTAGTCGGGTAAAAGTTAGACGCTCGTTGAACAGTGTTTTAAAGTGACGTTTAGTACGGAAATGTCACTTTAAAACAGTGTTCAACAAGTGCGTTTTGACATTTTAAATGCGCAAGCCTCGCGAGCCATTAAAAAAAACAAGAGCGTAACTTTTTATTAGTAAGGGGGATATTTGATTTTAATTAATATTAGACTTGAAACTTTACATAATAATAAATAATACTTTTTTGACAGAGACGAACATCTAAGAATATCCGAGCTGTCAATGAAGCTAGAGCCTGCCTTTTTGGCGGGGTTGCGCTGTCCGCAGCCGCATATCCGCGCCAAGTTCTTCGAGGTGTATGACCAGAGCGTGCGCCGGCGCATCTTCGACCGATTGCTGTATATCATCTGCTCGCAGAACTGGGAGCATATCGGCCAGCACTTCTGGATAAAGCAGTGCCTTGAGCTGCTCTTGGTTACTTGTGTTTCTAGTGAGTGTACCCGCGAATTTTAGCTTAGGAGTTTTTAGTGTTGTCGAATAAATAGCAATTTTAGATAGGTAGTATTGATACTATCGATTAAACAGACATCTAGGTTTGTCACAATTTAATCGATTATAGTTTTTTGGCAAAGTAACTAACTAAAGTTGTATCGATGAGTAAGCGATTTATAGATCATATTGGGCCCTATATGGACCATTGAAATTATTGAACGATATACTTTCGATTAATATGGCAACATTAGAAGCTTATTTATTTATGTTATAGTGCGCTATTTTTTTGACTAAATTTAAAATCTTATTTCTCTACAGGTACACAAATCCGTCTCTCGAATACCAAGTATCTACTGCCTAACATAGCCGCAGTGATCAACTGGGCGGACAGCGAGGAGCGCAAGTCCTTTGTTGTTTTCAGTACCGTGAAGGAGGAGTCGTCAGACGGTTTCACTGACTCTATGGATCCCGACAAAGATGATGTACTAGATATGGACCTCGATTCTAACTCCAATCAAAAAGAAGACGTCACCAAAAATGCCCCAAACAGGTGACTACATAACTAAATTATAGCCTGACCAGGAACATAAAAACCCTCGCCATGTTGCGGAAAACTAATGGTACTAATTTCTTTTAATGGCAACAGTAACTGAAAACTTCATTGACATGTCACCTTGCATGTCAGTCTATTGCTGTCAAAGTGTAAACAAACTTTATTTTAAATGTGCGCAATTGGTTTTATGAATTAAATTGCTAAAATATTTTTATAGTCGTGAAAGAAAAGTGGTTCACAATGTGTTAAAGTATTTGTCGAAGAGAAATACTAAGGGTTCGGACAATATTTTCATTGAATAATGTTTCCGACAAAGGTTGTCAAATTGACTGACATGTTTATCGTATAGTACAGTCCACTATGAAAATTAGCTGTGGTTTGTTTCAACCACCTATTTTAATTTTTTTTGTAACTTTCTAAGTGTTGAATTTTATGGGATTGGGAAAGAAGTACCGAGTTTGAAGCGTTCATGAGCAGACATTGCAGTTGAATATTCAAGTTCTGAATTTGATTATTGATGAATAATAAAATAAATCTACTAGCTCGATTGATGGTTTCATTTAATTTATTTAAATCAGGTTACCTATAATAATATTATTTCGTTAATTTATGAAAATATCAAATTAGCCCGTAATCCTGAATCCTGATACATAAAGTTAGCCTATTAATTTAACACAGGTACGACTGTACTCAGTGTTGCACTATCAAATGCAATTGAGGCGCCTCTATGCCAGGGTTTTTATGTTCCTGGTCAGGCTATATGTTATTTTGACTTGTTGAATTATTGTTTCATTTAAGGCTGATTAATACGTAGTTAATTAATTAAGTATGTAATTAAATTTTAACTTAATTTTTCGGGTAAGTTGGTGGGCGGGGCTTGTCACTTGACACGTTTTGACAAGCTATTGACAAGAAATTGCTATACTGAACTGTCCTATCCATGACATTCAAAGCATGGCGCCAACCGTCAATACCGGATCGTTGGTCATGTTGGAAACCTTAGAGATGAACGATGGTAGCGCCCCCCTGTCATTGAGTTTGGTGGGACAGTTCAGCATGGACCATCTATAAACAAGAGCTTTACGTTTGGACATAGATTTAAAATGTAGTTAACTACTTAATACGTGTAAATCAGCCTTTAATATTCTTGATTTGCTTCGTTTCTCGCAACATCTTGTGCAGTATTATAAGTTTTAAAATTTAGCTGAGATACCAGGTGAGTAACCAATAGTTTTTCTTACAGACAACGAGCCCTAACGCAGATAATTAATAAGCAGTCCGAGTTTTTGGAGCTGGCGCGGCGGGTTCGCACGGAACAGCTAGTTGTGGCCGCGGCGCAGCTGTGCCACATGGACGACCAACTGGCGCACCACACGTGGCTGAGACTGTTCCCTCGGCTTTGGAACACGTTGGACGAAAGACAACTGGGGGTAAGTGTATACGAGAAAACTCATTAACCTTCCATTGCTATACCCAAACTCGCAGCCGAATCGCCACTGGATATTAGTAGTCGGAACTGTAGTAGCTAACGCGTGGCAACGTTTTATCGATCTCATTAAACGTATGATATGATTTGTCGACTTCAAGTTCCTGGTGTGGGCCTCGCTCCCCGCATATCTTATTCTCTCGCTCGCTCGCAATCGACCAAATATATCTGTAGCAATAATCAAAAACTAAGGCTGAGTTGCACCACCTTATTTTAACTTTAACAAACGTCAAAAATCTGCCAAAATCCATACAAAAAACACCGGTTATGGTTATAGTTACGGTCAAAGTTAAGTGGTGCAACTCAGCGTTAGTGACCAATATCTTAATTCAGGGCAGCATGTTTAATGGTACGAAAGTCTTTGCTGATAGTTAAAAATATATCTAAAATTATGTAAAACCTAATTTCCTTTCTAGACGGTCATGAACGAAATCGTGCCATTCATCATATCTGGCGTTCACGTGGGCCAAAGAGATCAACCTCTCAGCGCACTCAATACATTCATCGAAGCGCTAGCCAGGTGCAACCCACCGATTACCATCAAACCGTAAGTTAATACTTTATTACCGTGTGAACTCTATTGCTGACTGCATAAAGGTGAAGTTTCTAAGGTGTTCAAAATGTCTCCCTATTTTCAGTTCCTCTAGTGCCTAAGTTCTAGTCTTTTTGTACTCAAGAGCTACTGCTTATTAAATTAACTATTACATATTTTCATTAAAACTTTTGACATTGACACTGCGATGTCATTTCACTCTCTTGTTGTGTTACGTAAAACATGTAAATAAACTTTTATTTTTAGGCCAATGATGAAGTATTTGGGCAAGACACACAACCTATGGCACCGCATGACATTGAACCTGGAGCAAATGGCCATTGATCAGACCGGCAGCAGCCGGGTGCCGCGGGAGGCTCTGGTCTACGACTTTGATGTTGAATCGACCACGCCGACCGTAAGTGCGCCTTTATTTAAAGGCTATGAAAATCTATTTTGGCTTAATGAATTTAAACCTTATGTTGTGTTGAAATAATGTTTAATATCGGTCATTTTTATTTTAGGAAATACTTGATTCATTGAGCGACATGTATGAACTATTACAAGAAGAAGACATGTGGTCAGGACTATGGCAAAAGCACGCGCGCTACCGTGAGACCAATGTTGCTATTGCGTATGAGCAACAAGGATTCTTTGAGCAAGCACAGGTAGGTGACGTTATTTTGATTGTTTTATTGCAGTTCTCAAGTAGACTTTTATAACTTTGTAAATACGAGCTGTAAAACATGAACCACATAAGCCACATATCTGTGGCTGTTTATTAAAACATAATGATGAAGGTTATCTACGAATATTTATCATTGCAGGCTGCCTATGACATCGCAATGGCCAAATTAAAACAAGACTACACAAGCAACCCATCGTCATATACCATGCACAAGGAGTGCACCCTCTGGACTCAGCACTGGCTTAAGTGCGCCAAGGAGCTGAACCAGTGGGATTCATTGCTGGAGTTGGGACTCACCAGAAGTTCCCGGGACCCTTTCCTGATCCTAGAAAGTTCCTGGAGGAATCCAAACTGGCCGACAATGAAAGACGCACTCGCTGAAGTAGAGTACAACTGTCCTAAGGAATTAAGTAAGTTAAAGACAGTTATAGGTCGCGCAACGAGAGTTGAGGCCAACACAAGCAAATATTTGTATCTGTATACGCTGTCAGCGCTGACGTCTTGCGTAGTCGGACTACTAAGTGCTTTCTGTCTCGCTTGCAGACATTTTTAACAAGAGCATGGTGGCTAGTGTGTTCAGTATGAGTACGTGTTTGCCTCAACTTTCGTTGCGCGAACTATAAGTGAAGTGACAGCTTATTTGTTTACAAAACAATATTTTATTTATTCCGGAAGTCTTTCTTAAGTTGAGTGTGTAAACAAATTGAATTTTCAGTACTCGTTGTAAAATGCTATTTTTTTAAGATGGCGGGTTTCTTCAATCGTAAAACACGTAAACTTATACTGTGGTAAAAATTTAATAACAATATCTGGCAACCCAGAAGCGTTCTATGCTCTAGCTCTATGGCCTCTCTTTTTCCTAGCATCTAAGTGTGTGTGCACATGGTTGTATAATATCTCCGCAATAAATAAAATTTCACTGAAATTGAGTGTCTTTTGCACCTGCCGTATCACTCTGTTCATGGTCCTTCAGAGCTGGATGCAGGAGTCTGTACTGAATCTGTACGTGGAGCTGTTTTTTTTGTTGCGTGCGGCCGGGCCGGGATGACGCTAACGCATCTTTATTTTCCAGCGTGGCTAGTGAACTTGTACCGCGGCTATTTGTGCATCTGCGCCGGCGGCGAGCAGCAGCTGAGCGGCGTGGAGAGACACGCGGAGGCGGCGGCGGCGCAGTGCCTGCGCGAGTGGCGCCGCCTGCCGCGCGTGGTGTCGCACGCGCACCTGCCGCTCCTGCGCGCCGCGCAGCAGCTCATGGAGCTCAGCGAGGCCGCGCAGATACACACGGTGAGTGTAGCGCACTGTACACAACCAGCTGAGCGGCGTGGACACGCGGAGGCGGCGGCGGCGCAGTGCCTGCGCGAGTGGCGCCGCCTGCCGCGCGTGGTGTCGCACGCGCACCTGCCGCTCCTGCGCGCCGCGCAGCAGCTCATGGAGCTCAGCGAGGCCGCGCAGATACACACGGTGAGTGTAGTGCACTGTAATACAGTGCACTACACTAAAACTGACAAACTGACCTCTGGTGTACTGAAAAACTGACCTCTTGTGTACTTGTAAAAGGGGCGATATTGCAACAAAAATGTAGTCTAATGTGATATAGTTCCAAAATACTGAACTGAGCTGACAATGTCATGGATAGGAATCCATGACATTGACAGCGTGGCGCCACCGTCAATACCGGATCGCTGGTTCCGATTTTTGCCATGTTGTAAACCATATAGTTGAACGATGGTAGCACCCCCCTGTTATTGAGTTTGGTGGGACAGTTCAGCGTGGGTCATCTATATCATCTGTACGTAGCTATAGTCGGCGTCAAATAGTTCGTGACACCTAAAAAGTTGACAACACAAACTTGTAACAAAGACGCTTTGCGAACTTTTTGGCTACTTTGAGTGTCACGAACTATGTATTTGTTTCTGACTGTGACTGTACCTCGTTGTCCTCCGTAGCAACAAAAGCTGCGCGAGTGAGCCGCGTTGTACGCAACACGGCTAATGTGTGTGCTGCACTATACACTGCACTGTGAGTGTAGTTATTACTATTTCGAGACTCAGACGCGCTTTATACAGTGTCTTCGCACTAGTGTGGTCGTTACTCAGGAAATATTTAGCTGTTACTGTTCGCTATTCAACTCACACCAAACTGAGAACACAAAAAACCATTAAAATGAACTTCCATTGCAGATTCATGTATATCTTTCCTACTGTGTTTTTAATGATTTATGGTTATTGTCATACGCCTTATTAATCGTATGTCATTTGTTCTCAGGGCCTCCTACATAGCCGCCCCACGTCTCTACACGACATGAAAGCAATAGTGAAGACATGGCGCAATCGTCTGCCCGTCGTAGCAGACCCGCTGTCGCACTGGGGCGCCATTTTCACGTGGCGCCAGCATCACTATCAGTTCATCGCTTCCCACTACGACTCGCAGACAGAACACGGGTCTAATCATAGTATGTTGGGGGTACATGCGAGTGCACAGGTAAGTGGATTATAAGTGAGCTTCATAAAAGCATTGGTATTGATTCCCTTGCTATAAAACGTTCTGTCATAAGTGAGTTTAAAACTTGCAGAGTAAATAGCTGTTGCAAGCCAACTTCTGCAAGATTTACACAGTAGTGATAGCTTCCGGAGTCAACTTCTGCAAGTTTTACACAGTAGTGATAGCTTGCGGAAGTCAACTTCTGCAAGTTTTATTGCTGGTAAAACTCGCTTTATGTTAATTGGTCTGAGTTAATCACATGTTTTGTTTCAGGCGATTATTCATTTCGCGAAGATAGCAAGAAAACACAACTTGTCGGGCGTATGCCTCGATTCCCTCCATCGTATCTACACCATACCTAGCGTCCCTATCGTGGACTGCTTCCAGAAGATTCGGCAGCAAGTGAAATGCCACATTCAGATGTCCTGGACCGAAGGAAAGGAAGAGTTGCAGGAGGGCTTGGACATGATTGAGTCAACGAACTTCAAATACTTCACGAAAGAAATGACAGCGGAGTTTTACGCGTTCAAGGGGTTATTGTTGGCTCAATTGGGTCGGTCAGAGGACGCTAATAAAGCGTTTGCAGCGGCCGTCCAACTACACGATACTCTGGTCAAGGCGTGGGCTCTTTGGGGTGACTATTTGGAGCAGATATTCATCAGGGACCCGCGCCAGACAACTGTGGGCGTTTCGGCCATGACTTGCTTCTTGCACGCTTGCAGGCACCAGAACGAATCTAAATCGCGCAAGTATTGTGCGAAGGTAAGAAACGTTTGAGTGATTTTTCGTTTTTTTTTTCATTACTTTTGTTGTTTTGTCTTGTTTCACTGAAAAACCTATTTTCGGACTTTCTTTTAGAAGTTTTCCTCTTTTCACTTAATCTTTATAGCAAAATTGAAAGACTATTATTATTATGTGTATTGTTGTGTTTTACTATCGTTTCTATCACTCAAAAAAGCTACTATTTAACCCATTTTTATTGCATTTTTATCATGAGACAACAGTTAACCAGGATCCATTTACCAGGTATTGTGGATGTTAAGTTTCGACGACGAAAAGAACAGTCTCGCTGAGGCACTAGACAAGTATTCTGTGGGCGTGCCGCCCGTACAGTGGCTGCCCTGGATACCGCAGTTGCTCGCATGTCTCGTGCAGTACGATGGAAACGTGATACTGAACTTGCTAAGCCATGTACGTAGACTTATTGCTACATTGTGTTTTATGACTTGTTATTTTAGAGTCAGATTCGCCTGGCAACAAACGGTATGTGCTTATGTTTCATGTATTGGGACTAAGGGCCTGTGGTCGCGTTTTTTAAGCGCGGTGTGCACAGGCCCTAAGAAAGTGAACGTGCAGCGAACTTAGTAGCGCGATAATTTGAACAAAGCTGTCGCATGCTCAAATAATATTTCTGTCAGCAGATTAATGCTAAATTGTGGTTGCATTGGATTCAATAAGGAGTCATGGTGATCTATTTGTGTATTCATTTATTTCTTCATATTTTTTTTTTAATAATGAACTAATCTCAAAATATTTCTTGCTCCAGGTTGGCAGATTGTATCCTCAGGCAGTTTACTTCCCCATAAGAACGTTATACCTAACGCTTAAAATCGAACAACGTGAAAGACACAAAACCGCAGAAAACATAGCGGCGCACTTACCACATCAAACCACCACCTCAACCGTAAGTAATATTACATAAGTGCTATTTTGAAATAAAAATGTTTAGTCTGAGGTGCCGTCGACTGTGATTCGATTCAGCTGTGCATAAATTATGCTATATTTTAAATTAATTAACGTGTTTTAGATCCTGAAGCTCACATTTATTGCTGAATACTTTGTTACGGCTTCATAAAGCCTTGTTTATGGCTTCAATTAGTTCTATAAAAGCGGTCACCGCAAAGTAAACCGCAACCATTTTTTAAAACTTCTCTATAAATTAAAAGCTATAAAAAGCAGCTAAAATACAAGAGCAACTTAATTAGCTTGTCCGTGTTTTACGATCATTATTGTTAATAATCAGGAACTGATTTTATGAATTTTCATTTCGGTGAAAGTTGCTTTATTTTGTGCACAATAAATACTAATTGGTCGAAGTAGTTCAAATATCAAATTATTTACTTGATTACAGAATTCGCCTTACGAAATACCTAAATTATTGATGACTTGCATCAAACAAGTCGTCGTTTGTCCGCTATATGCTTATCCGAAATATAACCCTATGTAATAAACAAAAGGTTGCTTTACCAGCTGCGTAATTTCATAAATATCTCTTATCTGATACTTGCAAAAACCAAAATTGTAGTTAACCTAAGAGATAGTTCTCAACATGTTTTTACAAGTGGTAAACAGGCTCTATCTTGTTCTTAAAGTTTTGTAGTTTATTTGTTCGATACCTGTGAGTTCCAAAAGGGTCTTTACATGTGTTGAAAATGTTCTGTCTCGTTCTAAATCTGTGCTTGTGATATACCATGGTACCAGCAAGTCGTTATTTACTGGTAAAGTCAGCGTCAAATAGTTAGTAACACCCAAAGTAGCCAATAAGTTCGCAACACGCCCTTGATACAATTGGAATAAGGTTCTTTTATCAACCTTTTGGTCACTTTGGATGTCACGAAGTATTTGACGCTTACTGTATGTGTGACCAAACTTGTCTTCACCAGGGTACCAGCAAGGTGAGTGAGGCAGCATCTTCGTCGAGCGGCGGCTCCACGGGCAGCGAGACGGGCTCCATCAAGGCCACGCTGCCCATGTGGCGCTGCTCGAAGATAATGCAGTTGCAGAGGGAGATACACCCCACTGTGCTCTCGTCGCTAGAGGGCATTGTAGATCAGGTGAGTGTTAAGTGCCAGATAGCCAGTTAGGAATGAAGTTTGCTTTTGTATCTATGTAAAACAAGAACTAGGCAAAGCATTTTGACTTCCGCATTTATCGCGGTCTCTGTGGCTAGAGACACAGATATGTAATGCGGAAAATACTTTTTAGGAGTAGGCCCACTAGGTTTATCGAACAAAATTAGCGACCCACATTATATGGTCCCACAAAAGGTAACAAAGCGCTGGCGTAACCTGTGTCTTGTGTTTGAACTATTTCTTTTTTTTTATCTTTGTAGTGATCTGTCTAATGATTGGGGGAGGCCTATGTTCAGTACTGGACGTCCTATTTCTGTGTCAAATCATTAGGGGAGGCCTATGTTCAGCAGTGGACGTCCTATGGCTGAAATGATGATCATGATGATCTGTCCATAAACCTCTTTGTCATGTCACGTGACGTAAGCATGTGTGCTTATAACACTTCAAGTCAACTTAGCATCTCCAAATAATGCCCTCCCCGCCCGCTACCTACCGCTCTCACCCTCGACACAATAAGTGTCATAAAAATAACACGCCGTGACGTCATGAAGCAGGCAGCTTCTACGGATTGTGACATGCTCTACGTGTATAGTCTGGTCCGTGAGCACGTAGAATTTTGTCCAATGACCCCAAGCTACCCATCCTTATCGCTCGCGCGTAAATATGTTGATGTCGCGTTCGCACTCACTGCGGGCGCCCGTCGCACAGTCGCGACAGCAATATAATTACGCGCGAGCGATAAGGATGAGTAGCTTGGGGTCATTGGACAAAATTCTACGTGCTCACGGATCAGACTATACTATTGTGAATGTATACTTCAACCACCACCCTTCCCCCAGATGGTATGGTTCCGCGAGAACTGGTACGAGGAGGTGCTCCGACAGTTGCGCGCGGGCCTGGCCAAGTGTCACGTGGTGGCGTTCCACCACCGCGCCGCCGTCGCCGACGCCACCGTAACGCCGCACACGCTCAACTTCATCAAGAAGGTCGTGTCCACGTTCGGCATCGGCATCGGAATTAGTGAGTTTCAATTTGGAATTGATGCGAATATTGTTTTTTATTGGTGTAAGGCTTGGACTACATGCATAATTTAGAACAAAGCTAAGCGTCCACATGTCGGTATCGTATGCATCGGACGTATCGCACGCAACGGATCGTAGTATTATTTATATAGAAACTCATATAAGTGCGTCCACCTGTCCGCATCGTACGCATCGCACATCCGATACGATGTGTTTTGTACGATGCGTCCGTTCAAGTCCGTTGCGTACGATAGCGACAAGTGGACGCTTAGCTTAAAAATCACATTGAAAGAAAAATTAATATTTTTTCATAACTTGTATTGCGCTGATTGAAAAGGGAACAATATGCAGTGCTAGTCCCTGATAATTTGGCAAATGAGCAAGCTATATTGTGATGATCAATAATGAATTACAGATGAATCAATTTGTTACTAAATATGTTTAACATCTGTCATCTAAATAATATTTACACAATCTGATTACAAAGCTTTCTTTATTCTGATCAAAAGTACCTACCCTAGATTTCAGATGAATGTGGATTCGAGTTAAAGGATTAAATATGTTAAATATTTCGAAGATTACAATCTTTAATTAAATGTGCCGTATAATTTTAAAGATCCCGAATGCATGTATTCCAAGCCTAATTATTGCTAGATGTAAAGATTGCAGCTTATCATTTAACTTGAAAGATGGATAACATTTTAAATTGTTGTTTTCATGTGTCTTTTTTTGAGAATTTTATGATCTGATCTTACTACTTTCTCAACACATTTTCTACAACACTACCCTAAAAAGTAAAGCTTATTGTTATTCATACATTTCTCAAGTCACCCCATTTCATTTTGACTTTAATTTAAAAATATTGAAACTTGACCTTGATATTGAGTTGATGCAAAGTCTCGACATGTAATCCGATGAAAAATAATCATGAAAACCCCCGCAAAATCATCTACAGCAGCTGTCATAGCTGCTTTGATATTATTCTATTGAAATATGTATAATAAAAATTAGCGGTACTATGGTTAGATTTTGGGATTCGACATCCAGAATAAAATCATCGGTTTCCAAAGAGACTTCGACCATCTCACATGGAAAAGACAGAAAACGGAGTAAAATTCTTAAAATATCAAAGTCACCCTTGTCGAGATTATGCATCCATATTGTGTAAAAAGAAACTTCGATAAATACTGTTTTAAAAGAGTAAGAAGTGTGTCATGTATGTAAAGTGTAAGTATAACTTTTTTGAAGGGTTTTGGTTTTAGTTATGGTTTTGGAAAGTAAACTTTGGTAGATATAAGTACTAACATAGATTTAGAAGCTGTGCGATTATTAATACGTGTGTTTTTTGCAGGTTACAATCTAACTTGTAACTTACTAACAAAATAGTCTGCCGTGTGCGAGCGCTATTACATATAGACACTCCATTTTGTATGTCTACAGAAAGTGTTTCAAGTTCTGTAAGTGGTGCATTCTCTTCAGCTGCATCGGAGAGCCTGGCTCGCCGCGCTCAGGCCACTGTGCAGGACCCCGTCTTCCAGAAGATGAAGACCCAGTTCACCGCTGACTTCGACTTTTCACAACCCAATGCCATGAAATTACAAAATCTCATACAAAAACTAAGGAAATGGGTCAAGATACTTGAGGCAAAAACAAAAGTTCTCCCCAAGTAAGTAATCCCAAGATTCGCTACTAGCGTATCTTGCGAATAAGGTAAATGATGAAGCTTTCTACCTATCATCGTTTGTGCTGTTCTTCACTAACATAGACAGTTTGGGAGTAGATAACTTTCACTCATTTCACTAACCCGAAAACCATAATTTATTTTAAGCCATTTCTAACTTGATGGGGAATTTACAGGTCATTCCTCATAGAAGAAAAGTGCCGATTCCTGTCGAACTTCAGCTTAAAAACGGCCGAAGTCGAACTGCCGGGAGAGTTCCTACTCCCCAAGCATACGCACTATCACGTGAGGATCGCGCGATTCATGCCGCGAGTGGAGATCGTTCAGAAGCACAATACGTCCGCTCGGCGGCTGTACATTCGCGGGCACAATGGAAAGATATACCCGTACCTCGTGGTCAACGACTCGGGGCTCGGCGACGCTAGGAGGGAAGAGCGCGTCCTACAGTTGCTCAGGATGCTCAACCACTACCTGGGCAAGCAAAAGGAGACTTCCAGAAGATTCCTGCACTTCACCGTACCGCGTGTCGTGTCCGTGTCACCGCAGATGCGCCTCGTAGAAGACAACCCCAGCTCGATATCCCTACTAGATATTTATCGCACGGAATGTGTGAACAGGTATGTTGACGTCACAGATCGAGATTCAATTTCAAGAATGAGGATCTAAAGTTTTATGATTTTGATAAGGTATTTTTCAATATTTTGTTATTCATGCCGCTATTCTTCACTCACTAGCGATCACTCATTACTTAGCCTTCTGCAATAAGAAGTCACCAATAAGCTCACACATTATTTCCGTTTCTTAGATAGGTACCTACTAGATTTAGAAGTAGAAAGCAACGCTCAGTTAAATACTGTAAAGCCAATACGATAGTTAGTCTCACTCTCTCTTAGGCTGTCATCTACAGAGAGATGAATACATTTTCTAGAACCATTTATAACCTGATAATCTTCTACAGGGGCGTGGAGTATGACGCGCCAGTCGCGCGCTACTACGAGCGTTTGGCCGCGGTGCAGGCTCGCGGCACGCAGGCCTCACATCAAGTGCTACGAGACATCCTACGGGAGGTAAGACAACGAGCATATTACAATCATCATCATTTAAGCTTTAGGACGTTCCTTACCCAACCCCATAGTGACAAGATCTTTTGGATGTCCTAAATTAGCGTTCTTTTAGCAAGTACGCCTTATAAGTCGGTATATTGAAGAGTTATAGCGTGTATGTAGAAAAAACGTTGGGTCTAAAGGAGTGCAAAGCATACATCATAGTCTAATAAAGGTTCGACAAAATAAACGCGGGCAGCCCGCGTGCGCGATAGCGATGGCGATACTACTGATTTCTACTGACAGCTCATAGGGATATACTACGATTTCTTTGCCAGCAGATTTAACTTGCCTCGACGCAAAACTTTTCCGTTTCGTTTTGGTAGTATTCACACCATAATAAATACTCATGAAGATATCAGGATTGGCAAATGTCTAGTCATCATGTTTATAGCATGCTGTAGCACTTTTTGTGATCTCATGCTTGTTTATGGTTTGATCAAATAATACACTCTTACACTCATAAACATTTACAAATAAAGTACATGTTTGTGCAACTAAATACATTGTTAGTGTGCTCATAAAGTATTTAACCCTATATCTGCATCTTCCTATCTATAAAAAAGTCTTTGGCTATTGGCTCTGTGCACGATTACAACGCCAACTAGCGTCCACAACTTTGTGGGCTCTGTCACATTGACATTTAGGTCGTATATTTGTGAAAAAATATCGAAATGAAAAAATAACAAATATTTTCGACTAATTAATTGTTGTGATACCACGATTTGGGTGGAAAAAAGGTTTTGAAATCATTTTGGTCATTCAAATCAAATGAGGTAAGTCCAAAAAGTGTGTTTAATTTTGATTGTGTCAGGGTTTGTTTACTTCATTTATAGTTGTAGTTTTACAGTAAAACGAAAAGAAAAAGCTACTTTAACGGTTTTATTATATAACAGTAAATATATTTAAATGTTCCTGTATCGCTAGTAATAAATTAAATATCGTTTTCAGATCGAAATTAGTATTGTTTTGAAGNACTATATATTTCAAGACAAGGTAGTTATTTTTTTTTATGATATTGCTAATAAAATACAAATATTTTTTCAAAAATATTCTGCATATGTAGTATGCGTAATATGGATAACTTTGAAGTGTCATACGGATCATCTTACGTGAAAAAGACTATAGTACTTCGCACCCAGCGAATTGCAAGATTGTGATTGATGTTAATATAATGAAGTGGTTGTTTATTTTTTAACAGTTTTTAATTTTATATTTATTTATTTATTTAAAACTTATATGCACATAGAACGGTGTACCTAAGGCGGACTTAATGCCTTTCGGCATTTTCAATTATATTATTTATCGCCCCAAAATTACGTCCGATTTACTGAAAGCCATGTACAAATTGAAATTATCTGAAATGCATGCATGCATCGAACTAATTCAGTTTGATGAGACTTTTATTTATTGCTATGAAGTGTCACGTATTGTCGTGTATAATGTCCATTAATAATAATGAAAACTTTCTTTCCTATTAGAGTCAAGTAATAAATAGATATTTATAAATTATGTAACTTTGTTAAACGACAATTATATTGAAACGTACATATTGAATAAAGAATGCTAATCAACCAATCACAATGATTTGTAATCAGTATCTGAGAGTATTACACGTTTCTCGTCTGTGCCAGAGCTGACAATAATTGTATACACTCATGTTGTAAGTATTACTTGGTGGCGTGTCTTTACATTACGATAAAACTGAGCATATTCTAAAATACATTTTTTAAACTTACCTAAAGAGACTGTGCATAATGTTTTGAAACGGCGAAAATATGTTTTGATGACCATTACTGAAAGAGCTAGTGCTCACAACGTTACACTTTTGAGTGATTAATGTGGTCTGATCTAACCGTGAGAGATGCACACCGATTTTGAATTACCAATTTTAGTCTTGGACTTGACTAAGATGTCAAGTGACTTGCCTGGGACCCGGCAGTTTGACGAGCCTTCCTAAATTCCTACAGCCATCGAAGCTTTGCTCTAAGCTAAGCAACCCTGATTTAGAATATAAAAATCTTTTTTAATCCTAAAACAGGTGCAAGCGACAATGGTCCCTAAAGGCATGGTGCGTGAGTGGGCGGCGGCGACTTTTGCCGCGCCCACCGACTACTGGACGTTCCGCAAGATGCTGACGCTGCAACTGTCCCTGGCCAGCTTCGCCGAGTACGTGCTGCATCTGACGCGGCTCAACCCTGACATGATGTATGTCCATCAAGACTCGGGGCTCCTCAACGTGTCTTACTTCAAGTTTGACGTCGACGATACTACAGGTAAATTGGTTTTCAATTTATATGCTGTGGACTGTAGGTATAGTCTACGGCACATCAGTCTTATTTAATGTTACACAAAAATGTACATTACATTAGCAAAAATGCACAGTCTTTAGCTCTTTTGGTTTTGTCTGTGTTGTCGGCAATTCATGTGAAAGATGATGTCTTGTTGAGTAAAATCTTAACTATTGTAGTTTCTAGCAAAAATCTTTAGCTAAGACATTCTCCACTTTTTACCAATACTGTACAGACATTAAAATGCAAATGAAAGAATTTTAAACAGAATAAAATGTCAGCAAATTCGTGAGCCCATATCTATAATTTCCAGTCCAGAGCTCGCAAATCATATTAGAATCGGTTTATTTTTATATTTTAATGGCATGACCTCGCTTGTGTCTGATATCATAATGATTTCTACCGTTAAACTTATTGTTTGCTCGTTAGTTACTAGTTTATCGCGACTTGATAAGTCTCTGGGTATCATAAACTTTAACATTTTTATTAATGAATTTAGTTTTACATTGTCAATTCAATAACAACGTGTGTTTTAATTATCTTTATTAAGAAAATAAAAATTGTTCACAGTACAAACGACAGACGTTTAAAATCAGTAAAATATTGGGAGCACATTTGTTACTGAAAAATATGTAATACATAAATATCTAAATTCTAATTATGCAAGTGTATTGATTCTGAAACGCTTAATTGAAATCATTTACTGACCGATCAGTTGCGTTTTATTCAATTAAACCGTACTGAGATTTTCTGCCAAAGAATTTTTAGTGCTTTTTTATGCAGAACAAGGCTGGTATTTGATAACAACCCCACCTGATGTTAAGTGAGATGCAGTCTAGGATGTACATAATTGCCCAGCAAATGCCTATTCCCTCTCATCGTGAAGATTCCTTGTATGTTCTTTATCGTGGGGCAGAAATTGACCAATGTTTATTTACAGGAGAACTCGACGGGAACCGGCCGGTGCCGTTCCGTCTGACGCCGAACATATCTGAGCTGCTGACCTCCATCGGCATCACTGGTCCACTCACGGCTTCGGCCATCTCAGTGGCCAGATGTCTAGTCACACCCAACTTCAAGGTAATTATCATCTACTAAAGTTCACTGAACTAAATCGATGATTTTGTTAACATAATGAAGGCTCTAAATCAGTGGTTCTTAACCGGTGGTCCGCGGACCACTGGTGGTCCCTGGAGGCATTCCAAGTGGTCCACGAATAGCACTTGCACACCTTGGTCAAAACCTGTTTTAACTGATTTTTGCAGTCAAACTGGTTTTGACCGATTATGAGGTGGTCCCTGACAAGACAGAAATTTGGTAAAATGGTCCCTCATGATTCAAAGGTTAAGAACCACTGCTCTAAATTCACCAAAGCTAAACAGACACAGATGTAATATTGTCAATATTGCTTTTATGATTCATTTATATTTTTAAACCTCTAAGTCCAGCTAGAGATTATATTACCTGATAGTGACTGTATGGACGAAATTCGATGTTTCGCCATATATTTTGTGTTTAAATTCAATTAACCTTTTGAACAGTGGGAATATAGTTCCCACCTTATTTGTACCGGTATTTTTTTACGTTTTGCTGACGTGAGACTAAAAAGTTTTTCTTTGCAGATCCAATCGATACTCCGGACAATATTACGAGACGAGATGATGACCGGATACAGAAAGCGGTTGGAAGACAAAACAGGGATGCCCACTGCTGGCACGTCCTCAGAAAACAAGCCCATGGAGATGGATAACGATACGCTCATTAACATGGTGAACAAAGCCGTGACTCAGATTATGAACAGACTGAATTCTCTTGCCACGTTCGACGGCCCCGACAGCAAGGTGGCAACCCTGGTCACTGCCGCCAACAGCCACGACAACCTCTGCCGAATGGACCCTGCGTGGCACCCCTGGCTCTAAACATAAGTTCCTCCACCTGAAAGTGTCCACGTTAGTATTATTTTATTTTATTATTAGCGACGTCGATAAAGGACTCTTTTCATGACATATTACTGAGTGATGCGGATGTGTAACATATAATTTTACGTGACATTTATGTTTAATAATAAGAGTAATTAAGGAACACAATAATAGGTATTATAATATCATGATGACGCGCGCCACCATTTTGATGTTTAGTGGACTGAGATAATGATATGTGTACTAGGTAAGTATTTGTGATAAAAAAAAACATGCGAAAGCTAAAATAGTGAATGGTGTCCCGCGTCTCATGATATCGATCTGTACCGAAATGATTCTCGTATAAATTAGGCCTAGACTACGTCCACGCCCACTAAAATGTACTGAAAGTGTAAAGGGCATCGGATAATGTGATTGTACTGAAGATTAAAATTTAATAATGATCCGTGTTGTTTCATTTTGGCATGAATTTCGTAATCGTGGTCGTTAATCGCGCGCGGTGACGCATTCCTAGCGGGTAGGTGCATGTACAACGCGAAAGACTTCTAAATAAATAGACATGCTATGCAGAATAAAATTTGTGTCACATTGTGAGCATGCGCTGATCAATTAAGATAACTTGAAATCCGTTAACAAAAAGCTTCCAAAAATAACAATAAGGCTTTATAGGTCTTGTAGACGTTTAATAGTTTGTTGACTACAACCTTCGCGGACCTTGCGGCTCATTAGCTCCTCTTGCTTGCTCGCAATATTCTAAATGAGGAAGTGAGCAATCGCAACTTTGGTGTACAATATCTCAGTTTAGGATAGCATGTCTAGTGGTACATGAAGTGTTTGCTTGCGCATGAGTGACAGCGGCGCTCGCGTCGCGCAGGTGAAAGTCCCGCGCCCCGCCCCCCGCCGCGCCAATCTCACTCGATCGCTAGAGATAGTAAAACTGATTTCATCACGCTAACAATGGGAAAGAAAGTGCAATAATTGTAGGATAGTGCAGGAACTGTTTGCGTATTCAGCCGGGCTCTGTAACAATGCGGGTTCGACGCTTTAATGCCATGGTTTCATTCATTCGTTTTATTGTAATGCACCGGCGCTATTATATTTATTTTTATTATGATCGTCCGCTCGGAGTAATGATACCTGTGAGTTGCGAGCCTCACATGAGCATACCTGGCACGAATGTTATTAAATTATATCTTGACTATAAACCAACCTCCTATAAGAACTAGTTCCTTGACTGTAAATTACATACATGGACGCTGGTATACAGGGTGACAACGAGATCGAACGCACCTTACTTGTTTCGAGCACGAATATGATTTAGCTGTTATTAAAATGGCAGCATGTCTATATTGAAATACCCTCTAATATAAAAATGTCTGGTTTATCCAACGACCTTGTACTACAATTTACTTATTCAAATCGCACCCCCTTTTCAACCCTTCGCAACAAAACAGAACAGTCCTCTCAGTTGACATGTGAAAATCTATACGAGTCTTGTTATTTTCCTTTTTTAATTCATTGTTTTATTAATTTATTTCTGTTAATGAAACGTTTAAATTATCATTCTGCATAATGTAATGTGATATTTAGTCACTACCAAATGATAGCATAAATCATACAGGGTGTCGTCTGCTCGAAAACAACATCTCGGTTTAATTAATGATCCTGTTAAAAATGTAAATGGGCGATCAGAGACAGATGTGGCGTTTGAGTAAATTATGGGTACAGCGACGTGTCACCGAGGTCCTCTGGGGCGGCGGAGGAGGCTGGAGGCTGGCGTCGGGCGCCGGCGGCGTCTGGTTGCTAGGCGGCGGGGGGCGGGGGCCAGGGCGGGCGCGCGCCGCTGCCCCGCTCGCTCCAGTCCGCTCCGCGGCGTCGACTGATGCGCCGGCCTGTCGCACGTGCCCTCTCCGTAACGTCAAGTGTCCGACCTCTGTAACCGACCGTTTATGACATTCGACAACCCCGCCCTGGTGCATTTTCTCGAGTTGCATTTCTATCAGTGCCAGGAGTGCGTCGTCCGCAAACTTTCCGTTCCGGCGGCGGTGGCTCCCCCCGCGTTTATTTATGTTGTCGTTTTGGTGTGGTGAATATTTGTGTTTGTACGGACGATAACCGTATTATCTGTGCGATCGGAGTCGAGTGGATATTTTTAACGAGCGACGCCTTTTTCGCGAAGGTGAGTGAAACGTACGATTCGGCGAATGTTGATCCGCGGATGGGACGTTCGATTCGCCGCGACGTGGCGGCCGTCTCGTCGATACGCTCCGGAATGTCGTGAGCGGTGTGTGTGTCACGATCGCTTGCAAAAATCAAAAATTTGATTTTATTTGAGCCTCAATTTGTACTATTCTTATTTGGAGGGTATCTGTAAAACGGCCGCCAAGTTCGGTGAAATTTATTTTTCTTTTGTGTTGATAACTTTGAGATGACGTCATCCAATCCAAACAGTTTTTTCTAGGAATGCCAAGTATGTCCTAGGAGGTATTGTACGTGCATCCTATATTCTAGTAAGAATCTTATTAGATTCGGTCCTATCCCACTACATCATATGGTGGACGGAAACGAGTGGATAAGAAAACAGAGGAGAGCGGGCGTCGGCGCGGGGCGGTGCGCGGCCGGTCGACCGACCGCATTCCATATGGAATGCCGGATTATACGCAATGTCAGTGTGACTCGGGTTTGTACCATCTCAGCTAGGACGCTGGCCATTGCACATTTGCAACGATTCTAATTGCAATTGACGTTCTTCACTGTAAACTCGTAGAACGAACGGTTACCTAATTGGAGCCTTGATGGGCTTGACAGCGCAAGTCTGGAGCCTTTAACACCCACACTTTGATATATTTAGACATCGTCAATTAAAGGCTGAATCACGCTAGCTGATTTTCATAGTATAATCGATGAATTCTATAGCTTTCTCCATATCTTCCCCCCAGCAATTGTTTTTTATTTTTACTGAGAGAAAAGTATCTGTGTTATCAAATCATTCATTTGGAAGCTATATGATAGCAAAAAATAATCTAGAGATTAGTGTGACGCAAGTTGTTGGACAACAAAAGATAACGGTGTTTGTCATTCAAAATCTTAATATAAAACAAAACTACCGTCAAATACGGGTGCAGTTTCAAATCCAATCGGTAAACGTCAATTGGATTTTCCTGGTAATGTTAGGGTACTTTTATAAAGTTTTTCTCGCTATTGCTTTTTTCCGTTTAGTTTGAATATTAGGTAAAACCCAGATACCTTCCTTTCTTGGAAATCTTTGCTGCCTTCAGAATTTTTTATCTCTGCTTCAAGTAATAAATCAATAGCAATTTCTGTACTTAACAAAAAATATCACGGAAAGTGATACGAGTTTAAGGTTGATTTAAACTAAAACTTACACGTGTACGGAAACTTTCTCGCAAGCTTTTGACTTGGCGCGGTTGTTTACACACAAAATTTTACCTCAAACATAACTTTTGTCGTCAAAGTAAATAAGTACTTGTAGGTTCATACAAAACTATGTACGTTTCCACAATTCATCGCTCGTTTAGGGCCCGTAATCTGTACGGTCCCTATCTCGGTGACATTATAGTGATCTGGAGTGGCGTATAATGAGCTCGATAGTGCGTGCTATATTTCGACACGCGTCCGTCGCCGTTTCCGCTCTGTGACCCACAATTTACGTCTAACTTTTAGGTGTAACTAAACTTACAGATTTTTTTATTGCCTTAACGAAAACTGTTCGTATTAACACAAAATATAACAGAAGGTAAACTCATGTATGTACCTCGCTTTGCATACCTCTCTCGCTCGCACGCTCGGCCGTCGCGCTAGGGTTGTCTTGTCATGTGTTGCGTTTATTTCGTTATGATAGAAAAATTTTACTCTTAATACTATGCAAGAAAGACAATAACAGATATCCACGTATACCTACTTATATTTAGTACGTTATTATAGTAATAGTTTGCAAAGACATACACGAGAAGGAAGTAGTATTTAGTTGAGTGGTTGACACACTATTATCCAACTAATATTATACCTAAATGCGAAAGTTTGGATGTCTGGATGTTTGTTGCTCTTTCACGCAAAAACTACTGAACGGATTTTGATGTAACTTTACAGTATTATTGTTTATAACCCTGAATAACATATAGGCTATAATTTATGACGATCTGTGACAAACTAAATTTCACGCGGGTGAAGCCGCGGGCAAAAGCTAGTTATCCAATAATTCCTAAAACCTCTCTAAAACAATTCGATATTCCTAATAATTGAGTTGGCTTTCAATTTCAATTGAAATTCAAATAAATAACTTACTTACCTCCCCGAATCAACTGGTAATTTAAAAAATGAAAATTCGGTATTTAATGATGAGTTTAAGCAACCAAATACCGAACAATTATAATACGACTTTTTCTGTTCACTCATTTTCGTCAATTTCGCAAAACAAAATAATATCACAGGCGGTTGACCGGCGCGTGACTCAAGCGAACCACAGCGAACGTGTTGCGAACGTCTGTCGCGCCACGTCGCGCTCGCATTCGTCCAAGACAGTCTTGCTAGAGCGGTGTATATGTGTGCGTGGCTCGAGCGCGTTTAGTATGGAGTTTGTCTTCTGTTATATTTTGTGGTATTAACATCACTGGCATACTTAACAACTTTTTTATTTTAGTTCTACCCCCTAAACAAACTAATAATGTTGTTTTAATATCGTCTAATATGTAAATTGCATTCGTACAATCCGTTAACGTTGGTTCATTCATTACTGCCGTGTTACTCTAATTACCTTGGTAGTATTCATTAATATGGATGTTTTTATTTCTTGACACCCATTTCTGCTAATCAGAACGTCAACGAACTTTGTAGAATGCCTTGTAATGCATTCAAGTTACAATTACTCATCAATTAAGTAATTTTATATTCTAATTTCAGATTGGCAATAAGTTATTTTCGTTCCGTACTTTTACGTTATGTTAGTTACTTTGTATGTAATACCACAGTAATACTTTGTAACAAATCGCTAGGTATTTGATGGATTCTTGATTGATTTTCTTTAAGCTCATTCTGAAGTTTAATCATTAGTTGTTGATAGAGTTAACAACAATGTCGGAGATATGCTTGGCCCAATGAAAGAGCTGCGCGTGTCCCTGTTGTCATTCGGTGACCAAATTCATTTATCAGGCTGAGTCCGGGTCCCAGGTCAAATTTACACAATCTCTACGACCTTTAATCTCTTTTCAGATAGCTAAAGCGCGCTCCTTTGTGTTGCTTCTAAGAAATGGTGTCATTATCTAACCATATTTGTTTTATTTACAGTAGTTACGATAAAGTCATTGGTTTAATCATTGTGATGATGCCCCACACAAGATCATTCTAATTTTGTTGTTCCACATATCTTGACCGTTGCATCACTCGGGAATTCGTGTACGGTCTCGCTACCCCGCCTTATCTGACG